CCCGCCGACGCGGCCCGCCTCATCGGAAAAACGACGTACACGCGGCAGCCCCGGCGGAGGTCGAGGTCCTCATCGGCCGGGAGGGGGCTGAGCTTGCGAAGAGCTCGTAAGGACATTAGACCAGAGTGGTAGAGAGACGACAGACATCGCGGTCGTCTCACATCGCCTTTTTTATTGGCTCCCATTAGCACATCGAGCTACTTCCTCGTATGGCAGCCATTTTCGCGCGTTCTCTTTCTCTCCCTCTGGCTCTTCGCGTCTCCTCTGTCTCTCACTCCCATATAGATCCTCTCTGCTAGCGAGCAGAGTTTGGGCGTTTTGATCCAAAAGCCACAACAAACGAAACCTAAATATATATATAAAAAGAAATATTAAACAGTAATATTTAGGGGCATAAATTGGATTTTCTCGATATATTGACTTACTAATCCATGAAATTTTAGTGGATACAATATTTTTTTTAAAAAAAGGCAAGCATGTTTCTAGTAGAATAAAAGATATAGTTACTTTTAATTATATTATCAAATTAAAATTTTAAAATTTTGTTGTTAAATATAATTTGATTGTTAATAATTTAAAACAATTACACATTAAACATGTCACTATCAATTTCACTTAATTCATATATATATATATATGTGTGTGTGGATTTTTTGACCGAGTAATACAAGAATTTAAGGACAGATTTGCAAATTTCTCAGTAAATGCACCAATTCCCGAGAATCAGAGGTAAGGACAAGGGAAGATGGAAGCGACATACGACGAAGTCGGAAGGGGAAGAAGTTTTCGTCGGTCAAAAATCCCCATTACGATTCTCCTTCTGTTAATCTTCTCAAGCTCCGGCGTTTATGCTTCGTCCGAAGAATCCGGTGGAAGAACGGTGATTGAAGCGCGAACTGGACAAGATTCGGTGATATGGGTTGTTCAGCTCTCCGATCTCCATTTCAGTGTTCATCATCCCGACAGAGCCCTCGACTTCAAGAACATAGTGGGTCCTGCTCTTTCCTTGATCAACCCTTCTCTTGTCCTGATTACCGGTGATCTCACAGGTTGATCTCTGCCCTATTTACCAAGCTTTTTATTTATTTATTTTGTGAACAGTTTACCAAGCTTTTCAATTTCGTTATGCTTTGTTCAAATCTCGGGGGTTTGCTTGGTGGGTGTGAATGAGTTTCTTCTGGGGCCAGGGTTCGTTTCTGCTTCTGATATTGTTCTTAAGATTAATTCTGGGTTTATACTGTTTTTCCCTTAAGACAACATCGTGGTTCTCGTACGAATTGAGGGCAGGAATGATGTTACGTCTAATGTCTTTGATTCCTAGGCCAATTTTTTCCTGCATCTGTTCAATCAGGGTTCATCCTTAGTGGTTCTTTCTTGAGAATATTAGCCGGTTCATTTCTTCCTCAATTTGTTGGTCAGATGGGAAAAGCAAAGATTTGTTAACAATGAAGCAAAATGAAGACGAGTGGTTAGAATACGAGAATGTGATTAACGAGGTCGTGAAAAGAAGCGGACTTAACAAGAGCATATTCTATGATCTCAGGGGAAACCATGACAATTTCGGTGTTCCTGCTGTCGGTTCTTCTGTCGACTTCTTTTCAAAGTATAGCATCAATGGACAGATTGGAAGAAGAGGAAATGTCAATAGCGTAACTGTTGAGGTTAGTTACTCCCTTTCGTTTATGGTGAATCCACATCCACCTGGTTGATATTTACGACACTATTTTTCGCTTCATATTATGGTAAACAAGAACATTCATGCTTAGAAATTCCACCCGATGAGGTGCATGTGCATAATATTCATGTTCAATCAAACCCTTCATTTAGAAGCCTATCCTGCAAACCCGAGATTGTTAGGTTATGGTTGAACACGTTTCAATGTCCTTTTTTCTCTCAGAAAATATTTTTGTTGCTGACATTTGCATGTTCTGTTGTACAGACCGGTAAACGTAAGCATCTGTTTGTAGGTGTTGACACCACAATGCATATTGGTCTGCGTGGCCCGACAAATCTCCTTGGGCACCCGACTGATGAACTTTTGAGTGAGCTCGATTCACAGCTATCGCAATGGGGATCCCAACCGACAAAGCCTGTGACGAAAATTTCATTTGGACATTTCCCTTTGTCATTCTCAGCATCATCGGAGTCTCAAAAGAGCCTAAAAGATGTGTTCCTGAAGCACTCCGTCTCTGCTTATCTGTGTGGCCATCTTCACTCGAGCTTTGGCAAGAACCTTAAAAGACACCACCAGTCTAGTGGCATCAGCCTATCAGCAAATAACTTGTTTCAGTTGGATATGAGGCCAAGTAGTGCTGAAATTAGTAAGAACTGCTCATTTGGAGCCGTGCCAATTGCTGAATTCTGGGAGTGGGAGATGGGTGACTGGAGAAAAAACAGAGCAATGCGGATTGTGGCCATTGATAGGGGTCATGTTTCGTATGTTGATCTTGACTTCAAGTCGAAATCTCTAAAGACTATTATATTGCCAACCTTTCCTTTAGATTCACGTTTCATGTCAACATCCTTGGCACACCACGGGTATGAATGCCAACATATGGTCTCATCATCTTATGACACAGTACGAGCAATTGTCTTTTCTCATTCCCTAATTGTGGGAGTTGTAGCTAGAGTTTATGATTCAAGCCCAGGCTTCTACAATCTGGTAATGGAAGCTCCAATGAGAGAACACGGAGATGCTGCTGCTTCTTCTTCTTCTGGGGCAAGGATTTATGCAGTTCCATGGAATTATAGGGCTTTTGAGGATCCCTCACCTGATAGATTCTGGCTGCAAATAGAAGCAACTGACATCACGGGCAGATCAATTTTGTCAGAACGGCGACCATTTTCCGTCAATGGTCTAAGCTCTAAGGTCTCATGGACATGGAATGAGTTTCGTGTTATGGGTTGCCAGTGGGCTGCCCTATATCACCCTATCCTTTGGTCTGCTCTGTATTGTCTAATTCTCATTCTTGCTATCCCCAAATGCCTTCTCATTGTTTTCAAGAAGCGATACACATACAAGACGTTCATTGCCAAGAAGGGATTGATTACTCTTACATTGTGGATTCTACAAGAACTCTGCAGAATTCCTGTAGTTTGGTTCGGATATATGGCATACATAATCTATCTCATTTTCTTTCCTTGGTTTTCTGGGAATGTTTTCACGGGTGTGGACTACAGGGCATACATGACTATCATGGGGTGGGCGGTAACAAGTTCAGGTAGGAATGGGAAGCATGATTACATTGGACACCCTGATGTAATGGTGGTAGTTATACCGCATCTGGTGTTTGTTGTTACACCTAGTATTTTGGTCACAATATGTTTGTTTGCCGAGAGGGAAATCTATAAGGAACATGTTAGATCTGTCTCTGGGAAGAAGGAGGATGATCACAGCAGAGGAAAGAAGAGATCTCGAATTTCGTTGTTCTTTTCTAACAGAAGGGTGATTCAGAAACTACTAATGCTGGCTTCCTTGGCTGTGTACTGGAAGCATTTCAAGGTATTAGTTCTACGATCCTTTCGAATTATTCATATCAGTATTCAACATCATGCATAGAATTTAGGGTTCTTCTTGCAGCCGAATACTTCTAAATAGCCTGTTGTGTTCTTGGTTTATTCTCAGATGGTGTCATCTCTTTTTTTTTTTCAGAACTGTTGGGCTCTTGCTAAAGCATATGAGATGAATCCGGTCCTTCATTTCCCAGTCTACGCATTCACAGTTCCAGTGTTGCTACTTTACGCCATCTTCAAAACCCAGAAGGTTCAATGAGCATTTTGGAGAACACGCTGTTGGAAGGTTGGTTACTGTTCATGAATGATCAGATCAGAGGTTTGTCTGAAAAATCCTATGAGGTCACAGAGACAGCTTTTCTTGTTTTCGGTTTTTCCTTGTCGATTAGAATGATAGTCTGATCCAATACAAGGCTATATTGCAAGTTCCTTCTTCGAGGAGGAAAAATCTATCAGGAACCCTGCCATGTCGTTTTGCTGGTTTGTGAACACGGGGTTTTCCATTTTGAATCAATCAAACTTCTTCTTGGGTTTGTCTGCTTGATGATGTTGTCGTGAATCACAGACAAATTGGGCGAAAAGGACGTTCCTTTTCATTGGTATTTTTTATTGTTCATAGGTAGGTAGACAAAAATGGATATGGCCGGGAAATCCAGTCGCCCGTTCTTATAGTTTCTACAGAAATGAAACTTTTGATCTGTTCTTCCCATGGCTAATATCTCTGCTGCAGCTTCAAGCAAGAAGCCGGAAGCTTGCGGCTTTTGCTTTTGAAGGCAGTTGGCATTCTGTGGTGTCTCTTCCGTGGCCATCTCTTGATCAGGCAGACTTCCGCACCACCAGTGGCTTCTTCTCTTTCCTTCCACTAGCTTTGGTCCCTTCTCTCTCTCTTTCCCCTCCATTCTTTGTAATCTCCACTTCGATCTGTGTTCAACCACCAAAGACAAGAAGGAACTGTTGCTAGAAATGTAGATCGTGCTTATTTATACATATTGTTCAAACTTCAAAGATCAATCCAGGCATTCAAAATCATCCCCTCTCTCTCTCCATCCATATCTCGCTTCCTGTGATTCTTTTTACCTGAAATCCAGTCCCAAGACCTGACCTAACAATGATAGAAGAAAAAAACAAACCTTTACTTGAGAAATACTAAAGGAAAAAAGGACGTATTGGCCGATTTTATTGACCGAACTTGCCATGTCTTCTAATGGGTTCTGTGTCTGCAACTTGATCTTACACATGACATGCATGTTCTCGGGTGAATGAAGAGGGCGTCCGTACCATGAAGATTCTGGTCCCCGAAGGGACAATGAGCTGTCTGAATGAATCTTTATTCCGATTAGCTGTTTGGAATGTGGTGTGTCTATTTCTGAAATGTTTCTTTTGCGTTAGTTAGCTCCATTGTTTTGTTTTCCCGGATTCATATAAACACTATACACACATCAATATACAAATACAAATTCAAAGTCTTCCTTGATCACCAAAACAAATGACGATATCTAACACTTTCCTGTCAATATACAAATTACATTTCATGCCATTAGGCGTTCACAAAGAAACTATAGCCCCACCGATATATCCCCCCTCCTTTCTGCGTTAAAATCACAAAAGAGAGCTTCTGCAGAAAAAAAAAAATCATGTTGACGAGACAGATTCCTCTGCAATAGTCTCTAACTGCGGCTTCTTAGACTTAGACACTGACATCCGATGCATGAACTCCGCCGCCGAGACCTCCTCTATGTCTTCCAAGCTCAGCTTCCTCGCCGGGAAAACAAGCCTGACGTCATCATCCTCTCCGCCGGGAGACACCCTCACCCCTCCGGACCCTCCTCGCCTGCGTTTTTTCCCCGCGGCGAGGAACAGCCGTGCCATGTCGGATGAGTTAGCCGCCGACGAGGCCCGCCTCATCGGAAAAACGACGTACACGCGGCAGCCCCGGCGGAGGTCGAGGTCCTCATCGGCCGGGAGGGGGCTGAGCTTGCGGCCGATCTTGAGAGCCTTGGCATCGACGAGGAAGTGGTTCGGAATCTCCATCATGATCTCCGCCGCCTTCGTCGGCGCGTAGACTTCATGCACTTCGCCGTCCGGGAGAATCACCTTGGCTGACGGCGAGGAGGAGGAGGAGTTCTTGCTTAGGGAGCAAGAAGCGTAGTTTCCCATTATTTTGAAATTCAAAGGAACGAGAGAAATGGCGATGAAACGGAAGTAAATTTCGTGGAGAAATGGAGACGAAGGAGATACATATATATATATATATATGAGAATGTTTTGGAAGAAAAGTCAAAACGAGTTAAATATAAAACAAACAAAGAGGAATTTAATAATAATATAGGGAGTGGAGATGGACAGTTGTGCACTCGCATTGGAGGTTGACTTCATATGGTTGAAGCCGCGTCGGCCCCTTTGTGAAAAAAATTAAAAATTATTAAATATCTTTATATATAAATATATATTTGTAATTTTTATCCCAACAAATTATCGAAAAAATGCTAATTCAAATTGTTTGCTCACATCCCACTAATAAATTAGGCAACGGAAAAAAGCTGTAAAGGCGCATAATGTATTTATCGCAAGTAATTTTTATAATTTTTTTGGTGAGATAAATATTGATTATGTTTCTTTCAAATATTTGCTTCACTATTAATTTCGATAACCTTTATAGATTATCGACGTACATAAATGTCTAGTTTTAAATTTAATGCAATAGTCAAACCTTAATTAAAAGGAAACAGAACATTTGTTTTATTGGGGCTCGAGTAAAATGACACGTGGATATCTTTGATATAAAAGAAAACAGAACAATATTATGGACGGACGACGGTGACCCTTTCATATAGCTATCTTATTATAAACAGAAATGAAAATGTGTGGGAAGACGCAACTCTACTTCCAGTTGCAATAATTTCAATTTTAATGATAAGGTCGCGTATTTACTGCTAATTACTAATTAATTAGATCGCTGATATATGACTGAGCGCGTGGATTCCACGCTCCTCGTCTCGTACTCGCATCCAATGTTTGTTTCGACGGCTTCCTAATCCATGGGAGAAGGGTCCTTCACGCCCAACTTCCTTTTAAAATTAATTAATCATTTTTTCACGATAATTTTCGAAATTAATAATTTCATTATGCTAATCCGCCTTTTGTTAGGTAAATGTTGAATACACTGAATAGGATGAGTATATATGGAAATCCAAGTTTTGTTTTGAACAAATGTTTATAGTAAAAAACTGAAAGAGGTAATTTGAAATAGGCATATGTGTGTGTAAGAATCTCAAATATAAACTAAATATAAGATTATGCTAATCCGGTCCGTTGGGCCAAAATTTTCATCTTTTTTCTAATAAGAAGCCCATCTGTTCTTTCCTTCGTCCCCTGGGCCGATCTCCAATATTACATTACTACTAATTTATTCCTTTATTATTTAAAGTAAATAAAAAATGGAATTAGCGAGATAATGCAAAAAAAAAAAAAAAAAAAACAATCAGGAAACAGCCCATCGGTTCTTTCGTGAGTAAATCTTAACAAATCATTAAAAAAAACTAATAATTATTTAAATAAAATCTTAAACTTGATCAAATGATCAAATCTCCACCCCCAAAAAATCCTCTCCAAGATCTCACCCCTAACCTCACTATAAATGCACCACCTTACACTCCACCGTGTATCAAAAACCATCCGAAGAAATCTTCACAAAAATCAATTACTCTCCTTCCCGTACAAACCCGACAAGCCCGAAAAATGAAAACCCCGACTCTGCTCATCGCCATAACCCTAATGGCATGCTATGCCACATCCCACGTCCATGCCGCCGCGTCAGCTTCTGATGCCGCGCAAGTGCAATGGTTCCCGTTCCCATACCATCACCACAGGGGATGGCCATTCCTCGGAGGAGCGTTGCCTCCCATGCCCTTCCATCCCAAGCCGTTCCAACCGAGCCCGATCGTGACGAAATGCCTGTCCCACGGGGGAGAGGTCAAGGCTTGCCACGACGAGATCGTCGCCTCTTTCTTCGCGCGTAAGGCTGTTGTCGGGCCGCTGTGCTGCCAAGCCGTCATGGCCATCGAGGGGGATTGCGAGCAGACCGTTTTCGGGTTTTTCCACAACCCTTTCTTCAACGCCTTCATCAAGCAGCATTGTTCTAACCAGTCTCCTCCTTCCGCTCCCACCCCGGCATAGATAGATTAGTCTTCTTCTATTGGCTTTATGTCTTGTAATAATCAAATGATGCTTTCGTTTTGGCGGCTTCTTAGTTAGTGAAGTTAGTGAGTGAGCTTTTGTGTAACTCGATTAGATTTTGTTACACAATATTTAAATAAAAGATTTGTTGGCACTAAATATATTACTCTATGCATGTGATCATAACGGAACTGGTCCAAAAAATCAAATCTGAACTGAATCAAAAGATTCAAAACAAATAGCAGGAAAACCGATTTTTTTAAAGTTTTTTTTTATAAACAAAAACTAAATTTGAATCCAATTAAAAGTGGGGAACACTATATATATAAAGGGCCCATGGGCTTACCTTGAGACCCATTTGAAAAAATGGACCATTTTTATTTTTTTTATTTTTTGTAAAAAGGACCATTTTTATTTAAAATGGATATAATATAATATTTTAAAAATCGAATTAATGGAATATTAATAATTAGTATAAGTGGGATGATCTTCCAATTTTTTTTTGATAATATATAATTTGCCAAGGGGGTTCGAATCTAGATGGAACACTCTCTGCATACTCATTTGCATACTCATTTACCAGTTGAGTCAATCATCTTTGGCATGACCTAATTTTGTACAGCGAGTATTAGATCGCATTTGAATAAAGAAGAACATGTTGATTTATATATTTTAAAATGCTATAAATATTTAATAATTTATATTATATTATTCGTGAAGGGAATATAGGAGGAGCATGTAACGAGTTTGGTTGGTAATGTGGGCATCTTTTTTTCCGCCGTAAAAAAAAAACAAAGGAAAAGTTGAAGAATACGATCTGCGTTGCGTGAAACGCGAATCAAAGAATATTTGTTTCTTGGGAAGCGGGTTAGATATCGATAAGAGGATATCAAACTTCAACGGAAAAATTAATATTTTTCGTTATTAAAAAAATCCGAACAAAAATAATAAATATATTTTTCTAAATCTAAAAAAATAAACCGATTTAAGAAAACCCAAATATCACCGCTAATTGCTATCGCTAAAAAAATCTAGAAGATTAGCGGGATTAAAAAAAATTGTCAAAGTACGCCAGTTTGGAAAAAAAGATAAAGCGAAAGATGAAAATTCCACGTGTTTATATAAGTCAGAAAGAATTGTGGCCCTCTTTTCTCACACAAGTCACACGGAGAAAAGTTTACGTGTCCGTATTTCCATGCAAGCATACTAAAATCATGCATGAACACGACATCGTACATGTGATTTTATTTCGTATAATTTTCCCGGAGATATGTAAAACAATTAATGAGTTGTTTTGACTTTGAGATAGATACAAAATGTCGTGGACCGGTCCTTTGAACCCTTCGAGTTAAATCGGTGGGCGTAAAAAGAAGTTTCGCTAAGTGCTATTTCAACTAATTATATATAATATATAGTTATTGTTTAGTTCTTCAAGATAATCATGATGACATGGAAATTCGTCGACCCTTTTATTACGGTTATCCTATTCAATACACAATAAAAAAAGTTGCAGAAATTTCTATTGGTGGATATATATGACATGATTAAAAATAATATCTATAACCCATTGGCCAATGGTACCATTTCTTACATGTTCCATTAGCATTAGCATTATATATTGAGATCCATTAGCATTATTACATTATCTGTTTTTTTTTATAATTCAACTCAAACTATATTTTATAGAAGATTGGAAAATCCAAATGAATACTCGTTTCCAAATAGAGATTCGGAACTGGATTGAGATATTGTATTTGTTCTTATGTGTGGTTAGATTGATTAATTTTCGACAAAGGAAATATCAGACGGAAATTGTAACTTCTAATTAGAATATTTGTTATTTGCCATCCGGTTGAAGATAAATCATATAATAAAATAGCACAAATTGTTGAAAAAAAAGACGTATTCTTGTACGCTTGAAGACCTAGTAGCTTCAAGAAGCTCCCGTCACCATACAAAACAGCTAAGGAAAAGAACCTCATAAATATCCAAGCCTCCACCATAATTCTCCACAACAACAAAGAGACAAAAAAAACTCAAAGAGGAGTCGACATTAAAGTGTTGTCTTATCAAATTATACCGACAACAGAGAGAGATAGAGAGAGATGGCGAAGGCACGTATCGTGGGAGTGGGGATGGACTATTCGCCGACGAGCAAATCGGCGCTCCGGTGGGCGGCGGAGAATCTCGTCGACGACGGAGATCACCTCGTATTGATCCACGTTCAACCTCCCAACGCCGGACACACTCGCAAGATTCTGTTCGAAGACACCGGCTCACGTACGTATGTTAATTTTGATTTTGTTATATTCCTCTGCTACCGTTCTCCCAAAAGATTATACGTACCTTCGTTTTATATCCACATGTTTTAAAGATTTGATTTTTAAATCTACGATCTTTGAAACCAAGAACTCGACTCAAAACGATCATGGAAACCAGAGAGATCATGCATGATGAAGTTATATATATCATCAATCCTTGCAAAACTAAGAGACGGGTATACAGACATATATATATATATATACATATATACGTATAATCTTTCTGTCTGAGTCTCTGACAAGTAATTAATGTTGATGCGTGTTTCAGCATTAGTTCCTCTGGAGGAATTTAGAGAGATTAATTTCTCTAAGCAGTACGGGCTTGCTTATGATCCTCAGGTTCTTGATGTTCTTGACACCCTCTCAAGGGCTAAAACGGTAATTTTCTCAACCCTCTTCTCTAATAATATGACCGTTATGATTAGATTAGACGCGTAATCATGATTTTTCTTTTTTTCTTTTTTTTTTTTTATTTTGAAAAAAACAACAGGTGAAGGTGGTGGCGAAGGTGTATTGGGGAGATCCACGGGAGAAGCTGTGCGACGCCGTAGATGATCTCAACCTCGACTGTATCGTTCTCGGCAGCCGAGGCTTGGGCCCCATCAAAAGGTATATACATACACATATATATACACATATACAAGAACTTTGAATGACCAAAGATTAATGGCTGTCTTAACCATCATTAACCATCATTATTACATTCCTTCTTTTATCTTTTTCTCTTAATGCACCATCATCATCATATTGAACACCACACAAATAAATTAGTATATTTTGATAGAGGAGATGATATTAAATAACTTATATATACATATATGTACGTTTTTGGCTCTTTTAATTTTGGAAAATGAATAAGGTTGGGCAGATTATGATTACAAAATTATGTTATAATTTTGGTCGGTTAATGTTGCAGGATATTGATGGGGAGCGTGAGCAATTATGTTGTGACAAATGCTACATGTCCAGTCACAGTTGTAAAGGCCAATTAAAGATTATTTCTGGCTTGGTCTCACGTTGCATTATAATAAATCATTATTAAAAAGTTTGTAATAACGCGTGGATTTATTCTATTCTACTTTTTCGGTTTGATCCTTTTCAAAGAGTGTGTTTGCTTCTTTTTTTTTTTTTGTTGTAAATAAATTTCTTGAATAAAATACAGATTCAAAATACATAAATAAGCAAACAACGTAGAATTTATTCTTAACGTAATGAAAAACAGCAGCGATATCACAAACAACGTCCAAGCACAAACCGGTTCAATTACAGAAAGAAAACTGAAGTAGTTAACCGGAATAAACCGAGTTATTATCTCAACTTCCAATCAGAATCCGAAAACCGAAGTAGTTAACCGGAATAAACAGAGTTTTAACATATAGCATTCATCTTCTTCCTGTCGGAGACGAGCTTCTTCCATCCGTTGATGATCTCTCTCTGCCTCTCGATGTCACTCTTCTTCACCTTCAGGATCACCTCGTCGTTCCCGATCTCTTTGTTCTCTTCCCGGCCGAGCGATAACTTCTCGATAACTCTCGATGGCAACTCGTCTAATTCGTGCAATACTTTCTGAACATCGATCACGAGCCTTTCGGCAAGCGTTCTCGAGAAATCTTCTCTTATAACAACTCGGAGAACAGTGATATGTTGTGCGTCCGGTGGCATTGTGTACGCCGGTACAATCCATCCGAACCTATATACATAGATACGTTTTCATCAAGTGTATTTTTGGACCGACGTATACACAGAATATTTGAGAAGATTATGATATACATATATATTAGGTATACCTGCGGAGCATGTCGGAGACCTCGAACTCGTTGTGACGGCTACTGTCCTTCAAAGAGAAAGCGACGAGAGGGACACCGTCGTCCTTTGAGACGATCTCGAACCTTCCCGTTCTCTGGAGCCCGTCCTTCAATACCATCATGTTGTCCCTGCAATTCTCCATCACGTTTCTGTATCCCTGTTTCAACCATTTGTTTGATCTGTTATATATCTAGGGTATAGATTTCCTCCTGTTATTACAAAAAATGAAATAAATGTTTTCACTATAGTTTATATGAGGATCGGAATGGACTGACCTCGTAGCCCAGACGAATGAGTTGGTAGTATTGAGCTATGACTTGGCTTGAACCTACACTTTGTTCGACGTCGAGACATATAATTAGCAAATCAAAGACATTATTACAAATGGTAACTGGGTCTCTTTGTTCTTAATAGAAGAATGGTAACTTGGTCTACGTATATATATATATATATATGAACAATACAAACCCTAGGTTAAAACCCATATTGATGAAAACAAAGAATGTAACCTTTGGAGAAGTTGAGGGTGAAAGTAGGCTGGTCGGCCCCGAGATAGTTGATGTGGAAGATGAGTTCCTCGGGCAAATCGTCTTTGCTTCTCCAAATGACCCAACCGATTCCGGCGTAGACGAGGCCGTACTTGTGCCCGCTCACGTTTATGCTCTTCACCAGTGGCAGCCTGAAATCCCATTCCAGCTCCGGGTACAAGAACGGCGCTATGAATCCTCCGCTCGCAGCGTCCACGTGTATCGGCGTATCCCATCTGCATGCACAGATCGATACACATATATATAAGCACACGCATATGTATCTACACGGTTATTATTAATATTACCCTGTTTCTTGGTTCTTTTTGTAGAGGAGGTCGTTCAAGAGCTTGACGTCTTCGAACTCTCCGTTGAGAGTGGAGCCGAGGATGGCGGCGACACAGATCGTGTTCTCGTCGACCATCTCCACGGCTTTCTCGGGGTCCATCACGTAGTACCCTTCTCTTAGCTTCACTTCCTTCAGCTCTACTTCAAAGTATCTCGCGAATTTCTCCCAGCACACCTATTCATTATAATCAACGTGGTACCATGTAATAATATAAGCAAATGCAAAAAAAATGGTTTAAGTGTATATTTATATCAACCACTAAATATATGAAATATATAATATGCACGACTTCGTCTAATAATCCATTCAGCTCTCCAATGCATGCAAAAAAACGAATAACATATGGTTCTAATTAAAGACACACATTAAATGTGTAATTAATTAATAGAGTGTGTATATATAGGTATATATATATATGTACGTACCTGGACATTGGCACCGGTGACGATGTTGGGTTTGTCGTGAGGTTTACCATCGGCCTTGCGTTTGTTCTGCCACTTGCGTTTGAAGGCCAAACCGGCCAACATTATGGCCTCCGACGATCCCACCGTCCCCACTCCCACCGCCGTCTCATCATCTCCTAGCGGTGCGTTGAATAGATTCGCTATCATGTTCACACACCGGTTCTGCCATTTTACGCATTTTTTTAATTAATTATTTTAATATATATATATATATATATATATATATATATTTGTCAATTACATAAAAATCTTGTTTGAGAAATCCGTTTAATCCGATATTTTTGAATCTTGTCTCCAAAGAGGGTTTGAGTTTTTGACCTTTGGGATTTGCTAAAGTTACGTAGATAAATTTTTTTTCCTCTACTGGTCAGATCTAGACATTTTGGTTTTGATGTACAAAATTAATCCAAAACGAAGCCAATAAAATATGAGAATCGAAATCAATCTCAAAATTGAATAAATATAATTAATGTCCCCCCCCCCCCCGCCGTCTCATCATCTCCTAGCGGTGCGTTGAATAGATTCGCTATCATGTTCACACACCGGTTCTGCCATTTTACGCATTTTTTTAATTAATTATTTTAATATATATATATATATATATATATATATATATTTGTCAATTACATAAAAATCTTGTTTGAGAAATCCGTTTAATCCGATATTTTTGAATCTTGTCTCCAAAGAGGGTTTGAGTTTTTGACCTTTGGGATTTGCTAAAGTTACGTAGATAAATTTTTTTTCCTCTACTGGTCAGATCTAGACATTTTGGTTTTGATGTACAAAATTAATCCAAAACGAAGCCAATAAAATATGAGAATCGAAATCAATCTCAAAATTGAATAAATATAATTAATGAAATTCAAATCAAATATAAAACTAATAATAAATACATCAATTTTCAAAAAATGTATTTTTTTCCTTAATGAAAAGGAATCCAAATGTTAAACAAATCCAAACATATTTTTTTTTGTCTATCCTGTATAAAAAGAATTAGTATTGATACCAAAATCGTTGGTAGTGAAATATTCCGCTCTACGAAAAATTACAATTTTTTCGTTTAAAGTCGTGCTTCCTTATTCCATTATTTAAGGTAATGTAATATTAGGAAAAATCCCAATAAAACCCTTACTTATACTTTATTTAATTGGTAAATAAAACCATATACTTTTAAAAATTGGCAAATAAAATTTTGAACAACAAAAATACTATTTAATGCTGACATAACATCCTAATCACTTGCCACATCATCAAGCCTAATATTTAATAATATTAATTAATAAAAAAATTATATTAATAAAAATAAAAATTTTAAAATTATACACATTCATATACACATATAGCACACGTACATATACAATGAAATGATATACATATATAAACATATTTATATATACACATATATATACATATAATACATATATATATATATATGTATGATTTTTAGGAAAAAATACATATACCACACATATATATAAAACATTTTTATATATATACATATAATACATACATATATATATATATTTATATATGTGTATATATGTATATCATTTTATTATATATGTATGTGTGATATATGTGTCTAATTTTAAAATTTTTTATTTTTATTAATACAATTTTTTTATTAATTAATATTATTAAATATTAGGCTTGATGATGTGGCAGATGATTATGATGTCATGTCAATATTAAATAGTATTTTTTGTTGTTTAGAATTTTATTTGTCAATTTTTAAAAGTATAAGATTTTATTTATGAGTATAAATTTTTTTTGAATAAAAAAGTATAAGATTTAAACTGTGACTGACAAAAAAAAATACATGATTTTTATTGAGATTTTTCCGTAATATTATTTTTCTCTCAACGTGGGGAAGAGGACTTTTTCTTGGTTGGCAATGGACCTACGGTACTATTCCCAATAAAAATAAAATAAAAAATGATAATGCATGTCTGCCATAACCAATCAGAGACGCTGGACCCCAAAATAAAAATATGAAATGACCAAATTCATGGAACCCACTTGGCTTAATTATCCCAAATGCCTAATAATCTCGTTCTCGAGATTGACGCTGACTTAAACAAACGACGTGAATGGCTAACAACGGAGTTATAATAATTAAAATAATAATAATAATAACAGTTATTTTTTATCACTGGTATTATTACAGATGTAACAGCATGCTCTCATCTTCCATGAAAAATTCATTTTCTATTCGATTGCCCACTTGTATCTACGGATAAGTTCCATGGATCTAACACAAAAATTAAATTTATAATTAATATCTGGTTAACTTAATATATATAATATGTGTGTGTACCTGGAGTTCGGTGGTGACGGGATACTCATCCATGTCGACGTAGTTCTTGTTGATGGCGGACATGATGAGCTTGTCGCATTCAGGTTCCATCCATGTCGTGACGAATGACGCCAAGTTCAGACGAGGGTTCCCGTCCAGCATCAGCTCGTCGTTTATTATCTGATACGCTGCTTCCTTCGGTGTCGAATTCTCCGGTAACTTGAACCTTCCCAATCCACCAATATTTATTTATAATCAGATCGATCTAGTTGATGTATCATGTATGTTATGCTTGATGTTGATCATGTACTGGCGTATATATAAATATATATGAAAGGGCATATATATATATGTGTGTGTGTGTGTATCTAAATGGGTATATACGAAAGGACGTATATACGTATTTATACGCACATATACACAATCATATGTTATACCTGGGAAGAGAAGCTCGAACGTATCGGGAAGCGAACGTGGAATGGACGGACACGTCCGACTCCGACGCTGTGTGCGATAGCACCATCACGCCCGCCGAGAGAGAGAGAGAGAGAGAGAGAGAGAGAGAGAGGCAGTGATATATATATATATGGGAGACTGGAGAGGAAGAAAGGAGCTTACTGGTTTATATAACAGGAAGGGTTCTTACGTTACAACTTACAAGTCATATCTGGGGGCAAGTTGATATATTTTATTTGGTCAAATTTTCCATAACGATCCATTACTATGTCCAAATTAGCCAATCAGACCTTATATTTTGTTTTTATTCAATTTAACCCCTTGCTTTGTCTAGATCTGTAAAAAAAAAAAACAGTGTATTTGATTTGAACACAAATCCACACCGGTAGTTGCTCGTTAACCAAATTTGAAGGATTGAGCAAGGACTATAAACTAAATTGAATTTAAATTGACAATTAAGACAAAGCTATATACAATTTCTATAATTAGTTTTAAAAATATATATATATGATTAAATTGCTCAATTGAATAACGGTTATTTATTTGTCTGCAATATGTGTATGTATATACCAATTTATATGTCTCTATACGTGTGGGTCCCTTGTACACTACGCCGTTATAATTATTTCCCCCCTCAAATTTGCACGTTGTTGCAGCTATAATATATATATTAAATTTCAAATATTTTAAACTTTTAAATAATGTAGTTTAATTTAAAATAAATATAATGAAAATTAATTTGTATTTTAATAAAAACGAAATAACAAAATAATCCCAAAAAAACCTCCAAACAAACTAAAACACAATATAAAATTATATAGATATAATTTTTCTAAACAAAAAGAACCTAAATAAAGGGCAAACAAAAGCCAAATTTTCAACCATAGAATAAAGTGTGAATAAGAATAAGATTAAATTAGAGTGAAAGAGAAAGGATCTGTATTGCAATATGCGGCGTCTGAGATTTAATTAACTATTGCAACTGGTTGCGATTTTCTATTAAAAATAAGAGCACCACACTTTGTTCCCGCGATATATATGCGCATTTCTTGTATTTTATTTTATTTGTATATATATATATATACAGTGATTACGAAATGTGACATATTGTAAATTAAATACTAATATACCGAATACTATAAACCAAAGCTAACCAATAATTCACGCAGGCTGAGGCTGGAGCCAACCACGCGTTTTCACAAATCACAAATCATTCACCCACCCACAAACCCCAATCATATATTATTTTATAATCTTTATATGCATAATTCATATATTTTATTATTATTGGATTAAAAGTTCGAGAATATTCCGTTTAAATACAAAGATCTAAAATTAATATCTCGTTCTAATATTGGTAATAAATAATAATACTTTGATAATAAATTAATTAAAATTGGGTAATATTTTATGAAATTTAATGACGCCTACAAGGTGATTTTAATGAAAATACGAGAAAATAGTCTAAAATAATTTTTTTTAAAGAGTAGGTTGGAACTTGTCAGCCTATATAAACATGAGTTGAGGCCTTTAGGCCTGTAAAAGGCCCAATAGCGGAAAGCTGAACGAGTAAAAAACATCCTAGAAGGGAAGTTATTATATTCTGTGAGCCGTCCCATCGTAAGTCCCGTGAACCTTACACGTCATCAATGTTAGAGTATTTAAAAGAATTATAAATTCTATGGAGAAAATTTAATTAATATAGATTAAGTACAGTTTGACACATGTCACTTTTGCTTGTACACAGAACTTTGAATAACGAGTTTTCAATTAAAAACAAACTTCATTTCTTAGTTATATAATTATATTTGATACTAAAGAGATAAATAAATATATAATCTTGAATTAGGAATTTAAGCTGGTGATTTTTTTTTTAAAAAAAAAAGAAAAACGGCGTTCATGAAAAATATACACCAACCACTTGCTCAACCCAAAGTCAAAGCGACAAAGCAAACATGTGGCTGAAATGTTCCTATCAATATTTAAATAAAGTAGTGAAGTTAAATGGAATAAAAAATACACGGCAGCTTTTAATGCCACGTGGACAGAAACGAGTGGCAGCAAAATGATGACGTGGAGAAAAGTGCACTCTATTAGGATTATTCCCATTAAATTGGCCCTTGACTTTTGGACCATATGATTTGTCAAAATAGTTTTATTTCCTCTTCATAAAATGAAAGTATGGATCCAACGTAATAATGTAGAAGCAATGGTAGATAATAAAAATTGTTATTATAATAGAATATTCTAGAGTTCTTGATTGGCCGCATAGATAATATTTTAGATTAAACAATAATATCTATCAAAATTCAATACCTATTTTTATTACAATGGGAACATATGTAAATTATATATATATATATATGCCTGTGTGTGGTCAAGAAAAATATTGATGATACCGTCGTAGAGATTTTATTTATTGTTTCCTATAGATATTTTATGTGTGGTGTGTGTGTGGGGTAATGGACCGACCGCCGAGCCACCTGTAATCTTAGAGGCTAAAGATATTTTTAATTTAATATATCTTTATGCGAGTAGGACTTGGCTTCGTACTCGCTCTATGGATAAGGCTCTTGGCAAATGACTTCCACACATTCTTTATTCATAATTGGTAAAGTCTATAAATCCCTGATTTTAAAAACATATGTGATTTTTGTTAACTTAAATTCAGAATTTTTTGTTATAAATCTGTTTCACTGAAATTATTTCTAATATTTTATATTAGATGTAGATGTATATGAACTTAATATTAAATCTATTACAATTGTTACTGCCAAATTTAACTCTACAATCTAGAATTTATATATTCAGAACTAACTTTTAATTTTACAAATAGAATGTTATATTTTAGGTTAATATCGTTATTATATGTTCGGAATATCAATATAGATTTTTGGGGCAAAAAATTATGTATTTCATAGGGATAAATAAAGAAATAAATAGAAAGCATCGGTTTTGCCAATAATATTCCAAAAAAGGCCAGAACGAAGAAACGAAAGCGACATAAACCAGATAAGAGCGAGTACGCAAACGACTACGTACTCGCGGCGCATGGACACCCTTATTTTCCTATTTCCACTCCTTTGGTGGCTTAAACTTCTCCTCCCACCATTAATATCTTCTAATTTGAGAAAAAAAAAATCAGAAATAAAAAGATCCACCACATATAGATGTAGATAATTTAATATATTTTCTTGTTTGAATGTTGTGTATATATACTCATATTATTTATATTTAAGATGGGGAAGTGACAAAGGTGCACGAGCGCCACGTGGCAGTGTCCATCTTTCAACGTGAGCCACAAGATTTCATATGTTCTATGGAAATCCGACTATTTAGAAAAGGCAAAAGGGAAGCAGAAAAGTGAAAAAGCGTATATACCAAAAGCTGACGTGGCATCCCCTCCTCTGTCTCCCTTTGTTTTCTCCCCCTTTCTTTCCTTCTCCACAAAGCCAAACACTCCCCCTTGTCTTCCCTCTCCCGCTTCCATTCTTCTTCTTCTTGATTATGGTGGTTTTCTGGTGAATCAGGATCTTTGTCCTTGTCTGATTCCGAGTAGAAACATCGTCGAAGGAGGTGTTTTCCGCCGCTCGGGGAACGGCTGAGAGGTTCATTATCATCGGTCTTCTTCTCACCCTCTGAACCTAGATTCGCCGCAGAATTTCTCTGAAGTTTCTTCTACGGGGAAGTTCTCCGATTTGGTGGATTGGTGGAAGTTTTCCCTAAGCTGGGAGAAGCAGATCGTTCGGATCGAGTCTTCGTAATTGAGTAGCTTATTGTTCGATTCTGCGGCGAAGAATTGGCGTAATCGTTCCATTTTTCTCGCGATCGGAGTTTCGAATTCTTCGTTTGGAGAGATCTTGCTCAATACGATCTTCATGGCGTCGTCTTCTTCGGCTATGACTGTTCAGGTGAGGACCCAAGTCTTACTAGGGCAGTTTTCTCCTCACTTTGTTATCTACTTTGTGCAACGTGGATTAATCAATGAATCTATGGTTGTAATTATAACTTGAGCTCTTTGAAGGTGGAAGGAAGGTAGAAATCCTTCCAATAACTTACCTAGAAATTTCTCAGATTCTTATTAAAAAAAAAATTAGAAATTTCTCAGATTTCTTTTGGGAACTTTTTCCATTTCAGAGCCATTGGTTTTGTCAAAGATTGAACTTGGAGCTATGTCTAAATTCTTGTTTATCTTCTTCAAGGAAAAGTAGCCACATTTACGCTGTGACCTGGTTGGTGTTTGTTGCGTCGGTTCTTATTTGTGTTCTTCCAGGAAAAAAAATGTGTTTTATCCTAAGTTAAACTGCTTGCTGATTTCTGTTGCAGGGTACATTTAGAGGTGCGCATTTGAACAAAGCTCCTATGATGCAACTCAACGAACAAATCTCGGGGGGAAATAACTCTGCATCCAAGGTTTTGTTTCTTACCATCAAATGTTCCCTTTTCTGTCTTTTTCTTGTTTGAGACATGGAGATCTTTGCTGACTTTATCTTCTTTTATGATTCTTTTAGGCAAGGAAACCTTACACTATCACAAAGGAAAGAGAGAGATGGACAGATGGGGAGCACAAGAAGTTTGTCGAAGCCTTGAAACAATACGGGCGAGCTTGGAGACGCATACAGGGTAAGTTCCATTGGAAAAATCCGATTCTCTTGTATCTCTGTTCGGTGCTTCTACTTGATTTAATGTGAACCTGAAGCTTAAAATGTACATGATGTTTTACCAACAGAACATATCGGAACAAAGACTGCGGTTCAGATTCGAAGCCATGCTCAGAAGTTTTTCTCTAAGGTCTACTTCCCTTTCTGCGCTACGATTCCCAAAAATAGCATATTTATGGTTTAAACCCTTACTAAACCGTCCGAAGGATTGCTGAAGTTCTTGATACGGGTTCATTTTACCTTCTTAGAGACTTTGATCTGATTCGATCTTTTGTATTCATGCAGATTGCCCGAGAGACAGCGGGAAGTAACGGGAGCTCAGTGGAACGGATCGTGATACCGCCTCCTCGTCCAAAAAGAAAACCGATGCATCCTTATCCACGTAAACTGGGAAACCCATCTGCTAAAGAAATCTCAGGCACAGATCAATCACGGAGATCTGTGTCTCCTCCGGACTTATCAGTCTCAGAAGGAGACGACCAATCTCCAACGTCGGTTTTATCCTCTGTTTGTTCGGATGCCTTTGGTTCTGCTGATACGAATTCGCCCAACAGTATCTTATCCCCCGTTTCCTCCACACTGCCCTGTGAACTAACACTCTCTGGGCCATATGGTTCGACAACCACCTTTGCCATTGAAGAGGCCGAGTCCTTGGTACTTATAAAAGCACCTTCGAATATCGTCACTCCATTCACGAGTCTTTCCCTTTCTCGTCGTAATCTAACTTTTCAATTGCCTGTTGGATAAATGTGCAGACGTTGGAGTTGTTTGGCAGAGAGAGGAGGCTCTTAAGCAGGGAGGAGTCAATCAATCCGCCAAAGAAGCAAAGCCTTAAGCTTTTTGGGAAGACTGTCGAGGTAAAAGATACATGTTGTACAAGATCCCCACTAGACTCAAATGAAGAGAAGCCGATTCAGCCATTTCTATGGAAACTCAGCCCGGAAGAAAATATATTGTGCTGGATACAGAAGCACAAGCAAGAAGGGGAGAACAGTAATGGTTTAGAACCCAGAAACTTGGATGCAAAAGAAGGAGGACATCAGGAGGAAGGATCTTCAGGAGGGTCGAATTCTTGTGGTTCTGATGACGATGATGATACAGATAGAGGAGAAGCAGATAAGGATTCAGAAGTTGAAGAAGAAACACCAACAACTAGTCACGAGAGGAAGGAAATCGGGGTTCCAGAGTTTAAACGGAGCGAGAGGTCAGCATTCAGGCAGCTGAAGGGAACCAGACCAGAATTGCAGACGAAAGCATTTGTCCCATACAAGAAAAGAAAGATGGGAATAGAAACAGAGGATAGATACTCGGGCAAGAGGAGGGAGACAGGGGAAGATGGTGACATTTGCCTCCTCTGCTTATGACTGACACACATACCCGATTTCAGGTACCCAAGACAAAAACAAAGCTGTGTTCTTTGAGATGATGCATGTTGAATAATAAGTCAACCAACCATTTTAATTGTTCAGTTCATGGGGTTCACTTCTCTCTCGTTCAATGTAACCATTTTTTATTTGTAATTTAGAAAGATTCTGTAAGAATTTCTCATGATTCGACCCCCTTCTCTTCCTTCCTTGATTTTCGGTATTTTCTTCTTCTGCGGTTCCTTTTGTCCAATCTCTGTGTTTGTGTTTCTTCTCCTTAAATTACGATTACTTCAGCCACAAGAAACGAGTAATAATTTTTTTTTGTGCGCGCAAAATCTAGGATTTGATCCATCACATAGTGGTAGACCTATGTAATATAGTGTGTATATATATATATATTAACCCACTTTCACAAAAAAAACATTTATCTATAGCTACAGAATTGAATGTTTCTACATCTGGACCCTCATAAATATACAAATCCATGATTCCTTTAAATGCTTACTATCAATCCACTGACATGTGATTTTATTTTGGAATCTTATGTATGTGTTATAAAATTTCAAGTATTCGGATCTGACCTATTTTAGTCCGATGTCGTCATAACTAAAAAAAAAAGAAAAAGAAAAGAAAATAAGATATTTCAGCTGAGACTCGGGAGAGGGTATTTCTGTAATTTCGCAGAAACCGACAAACAGATAAAAGCAACCTCTCCACTTAATTACAATGATAACAAAACAATAATCATTCTCATCTCTCTCTCTCTCAGTCGCCTGAGAAATGCGACTGCTCCTCCTCACTCTCGCGCTCCCCCTCCTCGCTCTCTCACCTCCGGCGACTTCCCATTTCTCCTCTTCCTCGTCTCCTTCCTCAGCCGCATCCGATTGGCGCTCCGCCCGCGCCACTTACTATGCCGCCTCCGATCCACGCGACTCCGTCGGAGGTGCTTGCGGCTTCGGTGACCTAGTTAAGGCCGGCTATGGCATGGCCACCGTCGGCCTGAGTGAGTCCCTCTTCGAACGCGGACAGATCTGCGGCGCTTGCTTCGAGCTCCGCTGCGTAGACGATCTCCGTTGGTGCATCCCGGGGACCTCCATCATTGTCACCGCCACTAACTTCTGCGCTCCTAATTACGGTTTTACCCCCGAAGGCGGTGGCCATTGTAACCCTCCGAACAAGCATTTCGTGCTCCCGATCGAGGCCTTCGAGAAGATCGCTATCTGGAAGGCCGGGAACATGCCGATTCAGTACCGTAGGTGCGTTCTCGATCCCCGCGTCTTCTCCTGGTGTCTTTCGTCCATTTGGAATATCGCGTTTCCGTAACTGCGTTTGCGGTGCCAAACGCTGCTTTGCTTCGGTTTGATTTCAAATTAATTCGGCCGATGCTTTCTCGTGTGCTTTTGGAGCGTGACATTAGCTGGATTTACGCTCATGCTAATTTACTACAATGCCCCTGATGTTTCAGCTTATTTACTTCTCTAGCCTTGAGAACTCAAGAACATTCGGCAACAGATCTTTGCATCTCGTGTTTAGGGTTCAGGTCTTAGTGCCTATAACGCGTAGCAAGTTTCTGAATTTATGAGCAAGTTTTGTTCAGAGTGGATTGAAAGCTAAGATAACACGACATTTTGAAGAGTATGGCATATTGTAGCAACGTGAAGGGTCTCTGCTTTCATGGCTGGTTAGTGGTTAGGGGAAGGTTAAAAACTGGTAATGCATGAGCACTAGGGTTTTTATCTTGCTGTCCTTCATCATATTCCAAGAATGGATCTGGAGTGATTTCTGCAACACTGAACATAAGAGTATGTTATGTATCCAACGTAAATCTATGGTTGGAGAATCTTACTTAGGTTTATGGCATCATGGATCATCATCATCATCATCATCATCATCATCATCATCATCATCATCATCTTATGTTTAATCTTTGTTGCTGGTTAACACGACAGGATAAACTGCAGAAGGGAAGGAAATATGCGGTTTTTGATTGATGGGGGAGGGATATTCGTGTCAGTGCTGATCACTAATGTCGCGGGCGCTGGAGATATAACCGGGGTGAAGATCAAAGGGTCGAGAACCGGGTGGCTGCCGATGGGCAGGAACTGGGGTCAAAACTGGCATATCAATGCAGATCTCCGGAACCAGCCTCTCTCGTTCGAAGTCACTGCCAGCGACGGTAGCACTGTGACATCTTACAATGTTGCTCCCAAGAACTGGAATTTCAGGCAGACCTTTGAAGGGAAACAGTTTGAGACTCCATGAAAACATGGCATGAGGGTGTGTACTTTTATGTCTCAGTGATTTTGGCATTGGTGAGTGAAACTTGATTTGGTCGTTCTGTACTGTATTATTATGTATCCGTCTATATATGTTCGATGAGCCAACAAGGCAAAGTTTTTGTCTGAAAAGTGACCAGCCTCTTCTAAAGTACAGTGTTGAAGATCTCTTGAACAAACCAGCCAGAATCAAAGTCTAAAAGTCATAGAAAGCAAAGACATGTTCCAATCCAAAACTCAGGTTTTTGGTAACCAACAATGATACTGCATGACATGTTCTATGTCATGAACATTAAGAACAAAGGGTACCAAATGATGAAAGATAGAAAAGAAAAGAGATCATTACACTTCACTGTTTCTTATTATTGAAAGATACACAGAAGAACCAAAAGAGTGTGATGTTAACCTGCCAAGGAAGAGTGTGTTTGTGGGTTCATACAAGAGAATCCAATTCACATCAAATCAAAGTTCAATGTGAAGAATTCCAATGGGATATTTAGGAGAAAGGTAAACTTCGGAAACCCGAAAAAAGAAAAAAGAATTTCAATTCTCTACCTACATTGAGGACCTTTACTAAGTTAAAATCCAAGTCAAGATAATAATAACAATATAACCTGCCAGGAATGAAGATCATCAGGCCAAGGCACCACCCTCCTGCGAACAGCCAAACCCCTCCTTTTCTTAAGCTCTCTACAAGGAAGAAAACCAAAAAAACAGAAACCGAGAATTCACAGCCTTTGGTGTGATTCGACGAGCAACGCATTCAACATGACATGGACTGCTGCATCATACACCGCCCCATCGTAATGCATCCCGTCAAGCGTACATTGAGGTCCACAGTTCCACGTAAACGACTGAATATCCAGCAAAATGAGAGGACCCCCTGTTTGCCGCAAGATCTTGCTCTCCCCGAGCGATCTATCGTATGCATGCCACACTGTGTTAAGAGACACAAACCACATTTGGTTAAATAGTTCTGTTGGCAACTGTTAGAACAAAGACATAGTAGTTCCATTGCATTGAGTTATATCAACTCTGATGCATGTTCTGCATCACTTTGTTCTCTTTTATGACCCAAGAACATGAATCAGCATCTTACCCAAGTCATGCTTGGGAAAGTTCTCTTATATTCTGAAATGGGTCCTGAATCTTAAGTTAAGATCCTCGTTAGTCATTACACATAGCTTTTTTTCTCATTCCTGTCTTGTAATGAAGGGGCTTAGGGTTTAGGGGTCGGAACACATTCTTTGCTGTAAGTGTGTTTGAAGTTGAATGGTTACTAATGCAGTTTGGTGTAGAAGAACCGACGAACTCGTAGATGGACCTAATGCTTCACATATAACACCAACGGCTCTGGACAGATGGGAAGCAAGGTTAGATGATCTTTTCCGAGGCCGTCCTTTCGATATGCTCGACGCTGCTCTCGCTGATACAGTTTCCCAATACCCCGTCGATATTCAGGTTCGGTTCAATCCAAGACATTAATCTTCTTTTTCTTGGGTCTAGCCTTCCTCCTGAAATGACCATCCAAAAAATTCTTGTAATGCTTTCTGCCAGCCATTTAGAGATATGATAGAAGGAATGAGAATGGACCTGAGGAAATCGAGATACCAGAACTTCGACGGGCATTCCAATCCAAAACAGATGCGGCGATCTGACAGAGACAGACCCGTCTTGCTCGGGAGAAAACGGCCCCAGACTCTCCACATTACTCCTCAGCTTCTTCAGCTGATCGCCGTAATCTGAAGCATCATTCACATGAAGCATATGCCACAAGCCAGTTCCCAGCATAAGAACATCTGGGTATTTTCTCTCCTTCTTATACACTATCACTAGATCAGTCAAATTCGTCTCGTAGGGAGCCCAGACGAAATCCAGCTTCATCCCAATCTCCTTAACCAGAATGTTGTAATCACTATGCCTCTTGAACAGATCAGCCTTCGCCGATTCCATAGCCTCTGAACCCGAATCCAAAACCAGATTCAGCAAGGAAAGAGCCACGAACCTTGCCTGAGAATCACCGGCTACGACGACCCATGATCCATTCAACAAGTCTGAGGCATCGGATTTACCCAGCTTCTGAAACTCGCAGTCCATCACTTTCCTCAATTTCACCCAATCCCAATTCTTCTCAAAATAGTCCAATTTCGAACCATTCTTACCAGCAGGTTCTGCTGGTTTCGGCTTAACATCCCAGGTAATCTCATTAACCAGATTAATACAAGAACTACGGTGATCATAAACAACGACAGAAGAAACCGAGGCCACGATGTCCGAAACGGACGGGAAATACGGCGTGAGATGAACACATACCGCGAGGGAAATGAACAAGGCGCCACTGAAGAAGAGGATCTTGTGTCTGCTCAGATGCCAACCCGCCATAGCCATGGGCACGAACAGAACCACACAAGCCGCTAATACCCCAAAATGGATCGCCCCTAGCATCTTTTCGATCTGGGTCTGAGAATCAAAGCATCTAAATTCATCCAGACGACAATTTCATAGGAAGCCGAACGAATTCCAGATCAAAAGGAGAAAACTTTAACACAGATTCGGATTCCTCCGATTAGAAACAGGGTTACGGATTAGTTAGGTGAAGAAACTCCATCGGATTGAGGGCGAAGATAAAATTGGTGCGCTTGCAAAGATTGAAAGGAACAGAAGAACCGAAGCTTTCCGAGGCCCTTTTTTATTTCTTCTCAAATTTTTTCCGGTTTTCCTTATTTCTAGATGCCATAATTTTCTCTGTGACACGGCTCGGCTCACGTTAGCCTCAAAACGGAACTACTCTAACGTACGCTGGTAATCACGTGACGGCACGCGAAGGAACCATGAAGCCAAAGACCAAACAGCCCTTGGCCACTACTAGACGGTGTCGTTTTGGCTAACAAGACAGAGACAAAAACACGGCGTCGTTTTGGTTATGAGAGGTTGTTGTTTCCCGTTTTGGAAAGATGGAGGAGGAGAACGATGGCGAACGAAGCGGCGAAGTTTGTGTGGGGAGGTGCACTTCCTCTTCAGATCCGACGTTACTTGTCATCCTTCTCTTTCTCCGGTTCTTGTACATTCTTCTTCTCTACTCCAAATTCTTCGTTAATCGGTCGGAGAAATTCTCGGATCGGTGATGTTGATCATGATATTTTGGAGTTAGGTTTTGGCTCCAATTTGCATTTCGCAATTCATTGGTTTCAGTCTAAGTCGTTGATTGCTGGAAACGAGGAAGAATTTTCGTTGTTGGAATCCAGGATCATGTCGCAGACTTGGAGTTGGGTTTTTCGGAGATGGTTGGATTAGTAGAATCGTGGAATGTTTCGAATATTTTACTATTTCTGAAGGTTTGGATGAAGTTGATGAGATCTGGAATCTTGGAAGGCTTTTCCGGCTTGGAGTCTAGAATCCCGTAGTACATATTGATATTCATATTTTTTTAGGTTAGTAAAGAAATTTCGAACGAGCTTTTTCGTGGTGGTAACGGAGTTATGCAGTTACTGTAGGTCTCATGTTTCATAGTCAACCCAACCGATCAAGAAATGAGCCGCTGGTCTTGCAATCAGTGCATTGCAGCGAACTTGGATGCTTAACAACTACTTGTTTTTCTGTTGTTATCTGGTGTCTATGTCTATTTCGATATGTTGGTCTTGGAGTTTGATGTTTGAACTAAAGCTTTCGGGGTATATTCTCCAGATATTTTGTTATTTCCTGGTATGGACTCAAGTACCTCTCTTTTACTCCAATTTTTAGGTTTTAACCCTGTAGATAGGGTACTTGCCTCTATTAATTCCTGGCCGTTTGATTGACGTTTACGCAATAAGTCATGTGTTACCTGTGAGTACATTCATTTCTGGGTTGCCTACATCTTTCTGTCAAGCCCGTATAGATCAGATTGGGGACCGTTTGCGTTATATCGGATGGCTAATGAATTTCCGTTGGCCACAGGTACATTCCGACTGGTGTTCTTTTCGATCTTCTATGTGCAGAACCCGGAAGACCCTGGAATCTTACTGTCATCCATCTTTCAATACTAGCAGGATGCTGGGACTTATTAGATCTTTTTATCATGTAATTGTGAGTTTTCAGAAACTTTTGGTTGCAGATACACTTTAGAGGATACCCGAGCAGCATGTCAATACCCTGTGAAAGAGGAGTCTGTGAAATGGAGCTTTATTAATTCATTGGAAAAGGTTAGTTCATCATCAGTTAAGCATTCATACACTTCAAATCAATTTGGGTGGCGTGGCACACGTTTGATCAGGTCTCGCTATTTTAGAGCTTAATGATGACAGGTTATTTTACCATCGGTAGAAACTGTAACAAAATTCTTTCTGATAAAACGGAAAAGTGGGTTGGGGAGCATATAATCAATCTCTCATAGCATGCTTAAGAAATTGAAACTGAAATTCTTTGTGCAAAGTGAATTAAATATTCATTGTCATTCAATTGATGATTTCTTGTCAATGTGGCACAAGACTCGGAAAGTTTGCTTTCCCGTCAGCCAAGTCGCGATGATGGATTCCAGCAGATTTGAAATTCATTCGGTATATTTAGCTGTTAATATTCTTGAGTGACATGTTTTGTATTGATTAATTTTTATTGCATTCAACTCTTCCTTTCTGGGTCGGATAACCATAAGGTTTCATCAATGGAAACTGCAAGAATTTTATGAATACGTCAGAGTCTGATCAGAATTCAGTCACATGGATGGTACCTGGTAGGGAACATGACATACAAATGGTTATATTTTTCTACTTCTGGCATTTCGTTGGAACATTTCCTGACGTCAAACCCTTGTTATAGGTAAGGTCAGCTAATATGTAGTTCGGAAACTGACTCCATGACAGGTAATTTTGATGCCTAGGCTAGATTATCATCCAAGCTTAATCTTGGAACTGCAGAAGACAAGTCTACCTGAGACAGATGTAACTGGACAAGTCAAGACAGGTTTGCCACATCTCTTTATTCTTGAAATTTTTTTTTGCTTTGGAGAGTTAGTGGACGGACTTAAAAAGGAAAATTAGTGGTGAGATTTATTTCATGAGGAAAGGGGTTTGCGTCTTTGCCATATGTTTAGCTCTCTTTGGGGGGTCATTTGGCGGAGTGATGACCGAAAACTCAATGCAAATCTATAATAGAAACCATACGTCAGTGGCTCTCTTTGGTTTAATGCCGTAGGAAAATAATCAGGCTTGGCTAACGTAAACACTTGTGCGTTGGTTCAATATCTTTTTTGCTTATGGTTGTGCATATCCTTAAACTAGCATTGCCGGGAAAAATGCCCGACCATACACAGCGTTATCAGAAGTCTCCTCCCGGTGAATTCGTCGGGGGAGGACAGAGGATCAAACGGGATGCACACAAACAAAGAAAAAGGAAGCCTACGCAGAAGATGGTGCTGGACTAGATTTTTTGACTAACATGAGGAAATGAAAAAACCCAAAAGACATGCCCCAAACGCCGCATTCTGATTTTTTTTTTAATAGACAGGTGAAATCGCTGGACTAAAATCCAGGCGCTTTCGTGCGGTGAGTCGACGTTGCCGTTAATTGATGGAGGCAAATCCTCGATGAACTTATATACGCCTCTTCTGATGAGCCTGATAAAGTTGGGCCGACATTATTAAAAGACGTCTCTGTTGGGCCTCATATGAATATGAAAACCAATGGACAACTAATATATAATCATTAGACTAAGATGCAAATAAAATCGCCCAAAAGACGTACCCACGCGCCGTGTTCCTAATTTTTCTTACAAAATAGCTAGAATCGCTGGATTATAGTCCGGGATTTTTGTGCGGTGGCGTTCACGCGCTTCTAATGCGCGTGGGTGAGTTAACATGCTATCGATAGAGACAAATCCTCGATGGGCTTTACGCTTCTGATAAATTTACTTTATGGTGGGCCATAAAAAGTTGGGATGGCATTGTCGGCCCAACACGTTGTTGACCTTTTAATCTAACGTTTCATTTTAACATATATATGTTCACTTTATCATTACAAATAATAACTAACTATCCGTATTTCGACACACTGCATTCATGATCAAAGCGGTGTGAGTGTTATTTTTGTCTCCACCAGAAAAAATAAGTTTTGCTAAAATTACGCATTATTTGCGACATAGTGCTTTTAAAGGATAAAATACAAAAAGAAAAAAGAAAAATTAAATCACAATTGCAAACACTTGATAATTGCGTGTTCCTCATGTCCCGACGACTTCCAAGGATCGGTTCTGTCATGGAACCTTCTAATGAATTCAATTTAATAAAGTCACAGAAACGATACAAGATCTAACGTTTGCTTGCAACTTATATCATACATAAAATGGTAATGAGAAGGTGAGAACATAAAATGTTGAGACAAAAATCACAAAATTATGATTAATCATATAAAGGTTACAACAGCTAACCGTGAAGTTTCTTCATTCCTCACGTTGTTGCGTTCGCATTCTCTAAGAGAATCTGTGCCACTTCATTGAGACAAGCTTCAAGATCACTGAATTCTTCCGTGTCCGAGAAGTTCACAGCTGCCTAAAAAGGGTCGGATATTCAATCTTCGGGTTAAACCCTTCGGAAATTCATACTTTGTATTACACAAGAAAACTATCATAACTCGTTCTAGCAAGAGTTGGTAGCGGATAGGAATCTACAGATGATTCAGAATTTGTTGATTTTTCAAAAAATAAAAAAAACGTGATATATTATCAAGATGTGTAATAAATAAAAAAGAAAAGAAGGAATGGGTTTCACCTGCTTAATTGTGTTCTGAAGGAGCATCTTAGCACTGCGGAGTTCTTGTTGGCTTCTCGTCGAAACCGAGATTTCCATATACACTCTGCATAGTTCTAAGGAAGCTTTTGCATACTTTCTGAAACGCTCTCTGTTTTGCCACAGTTCTGATCCCTGAGAGATATACGAATCAAGCAAATCAAAGATAACAAGATTAACTTATCAAATCTTCATCTCCAATGCACAATTCCAAATTTGTATAAGCAAAAGTTTTGAAATAAACCATTTTATAATGAATTAGGCCCCGAAAACAAAAATATCGCAACAAGAAGCAGAATGAATAAATTTTATCTAATTCCCAATTATCAAAATGGACCGGATACTGCCTCACAAGTCACAACATACGATTTAGATGTAAAATGAATAATCTTGGACATTGGAGGACATACCTGATATGACCTCACTTGTTTAAGAAGTGCCTCACTGCATCTCGTAAGTTCACCTTTGTTTCTACACCATCTTGCAAATAATCCCCAAATTTCAGCTGTACTTTCGCTCCTAACGATCTATAGAAAAGGTTTACCAGAGATACGAGAATCATATGTGAGAATGTTTACTTCTCGACTTACATATACGCAATGCGAGAGGTTATATAATCATTTTCTGAAGGGAAAATGGGAGTAACATCGGGATTACACTATTTGCTAACCTGCTCTAGAATTTTCCCCAGCACCTCTAGTTGGCGTTGTGTTTCTGCTGGAGCTGCAACATATGGTCTCGTTTCCGGTGATTCATCAGAGGAAACTTGATTGTCCGTTGATGAAGCTGATGACCGACTAGCTGAATTTCGATTTTCCAGTTCTCCCATTATACGTTCCAATAGTCCTACATCGATTCTTTTGTTGTTGCTCATTTTCAGGATCCGCTGTACAGCTTCAAGGGCCTGAAAAGACAAAATCAAGGTTTTTCTTTTTTTTTCAAAGATGAAACAGCTCCTCGTTTAAGATGAAGATGAATTTCAATTCCAATGAATTACATCTCTTGTTACTCAGGCAGATCCAATGATGGAAACTCAGTATTTATAAATGACTTATTAGGTTCTGTCTACAATGTTAAGCCCTTCTCTGTGAAGCAGTTAATACGCATTCACAGACATTCCAAAGACAATACAAATATAGAAAATACTAAGTAATCGGCTACACTTTACCTGATCGATATTTCCTACATCCATAGCCACATGACTGAAATTCTCCCACATTTGCCAGCTATCTCGCCTGTATATTGATATTTTTTTTTTCCTCACTTTTGACTCCTTTCTTATGTCAAGCAACAAAGGGTAAAGGAAAGAAAGAAAATACTTGAATTTCAGGGCTTCCTTGAAAGCTATGAAGGATTCCTTGCTCTTCTTCTTAATCATATGCCTGCACGAATAAGTGTTATGCATCGTCATCGTCCGTTGCAGCAAAAAACTGCCTAATAGAGAGTAGCAGCCAGAAGTTATTATCATAAGCATAACATGTTTACGTCTGGTAAAGAAGAAATGATAAGAACCTTTTGATTGACGAATTCTGTAGTTTAAACTAAGGCATGTGGGGAAAATTTATCAAGAAAAAAAAATCATTTTAGCAAATGAGCAAAAATGGTGAAACTTCTTCAAGCCCGTTAAAAATAGCATTCGTATGATCTCCAAATCTTTCAAAACTGGCATTCTTTTCAGATATGGCAGACTTAGAGAAACAAATTACTATGACAACTTCGTGTGGCACAAATAACAGCCAATGCATCAAGGCAGAAGTATTTAATTAACGTATAACCTCCTAATCTCAAAAGCTCGACAATTATACGGTGACCAGACATTAGATAGAAAGCTGAAAGACGTAACACCAAACAAATGAGAAGATAGAGTAGAAGAGAAGTGCTTACAGACAAGCAATATTGTTCCAAGCCTCCCCATTCTCAGGATCAAGTTGAACGGCAAAAGTGAATGCATCAAGAGCCTTCTGAACATCTCTGGCCTACAGAAAATCTTAGGACCGTAAGCCTGATATCTCTTTTCAACCAACAAGACAAGAATGCACTTTGTTTAACTTTGCATTCGAGATGCAAACAATATTGCCACAGATACACCTGACAAGGAGCAAGGTACCTTCAATGCAGCAGCACCAAGAGCAAACCAACCATCTGGGTAAAGCGAATTCAACTCCATTGCAGACTCCCTGAAGCAGATCAAAAGATGACAAATTTGAAGATCAAATCGACCTGAAGGGTCAAGTTCTTAGATTTATTTTATCATTACAGTAAAGAATATAGACAAAAAGGTGGACCTATTAACATACCACAACATCTTGGACTTTTCATAGTCACCACGATTATATGCACTACGAGCGAGAGACCTCTGCATGACAAAGAAAAAATTACATCCAGAAAAAAGAGCTGAGTACATATAGGGTTCTTGTGTTATGTGCTTCACAAAATACCTTAGCACGGACTGACTTATCGTTAGAGACTTCCAAGGCTTTTTCGTAACAGGCATCATTGTTTGTAACATCACCTAGTGAGCACCTGGAACCAATGTTAAGCATCAAATTTGACCTCATCAACAAACATCAACATCGGGAATGGAAACAGATGGCCAGACAATAAATAACTTAAGCAAAGGACATATTCCGATGGCACTTCAGAATAGGTAAAAAAAAAAGATTCTTAAAAAAAATGGAGAACTACGGAATAAGAGCACAAACAATGATTTTTATACCATAATCTTGGGTCATTTGGCCGTTCAGAGAGTCGTGCCTTGATGAGATCAACAGCGGCTGCTTTCTTCCCCAAAAGGCTGAAATAGCACATTGCAGAATGGTGCTTGCATGAGAGAGCATAATGACCAGAACAGGAAAAAAAAAGGAAAAAAGATCAAAAGCAATATTGCACATTGGACAACGGAGCTGAAGTCTCAATCAAATCAACATTCATAAGTTCAATATACCAATTACAGTAGATTAGATTATCCCACAACTCTAGGCTCTCAAATATTGTGATTGCTTCCCCTACCAAACCGCAACTAACCAGGAGCTCACCATATTCCCTGTCATTAGAAGCGAAAAGAAAAGAAAATATAAGAAAAAGAGAATACAATGAAGACCCTGCAAAGAGTTGTATCATGTATCGAACAGAAAAGAACTTACTTCCTCAAAGCAGGAATAGTAGGAAAATGGACAGCATAACATAAAGGGATCCTTTTTGCTGCCCCAATATCACTCTTGTTTATAGCCTCAACCTGAAACATCGGAAAATTAATAGAGTGACGCCTGAAACAGCCAAGATGTGGAAAAAACAAAGCTAAAAAAACAATTAAAGATAAAAAAAGCTGAATTTTTAGTAATTCAAAACAAACTTCTAGGAACTAATGCATATAGAAAAGTTGAAATGAAGAGCTGAAATTAAGATCATGATGCTCCCAGTACCAATTTCTCCACCATCTCTAGAGCACGCCCCTTTGTGCGACCGCGAGCTGATTCCCACCGAATCCGTAATAAGTCACAAAAACACCGTAGCTGAAAAGGGAAAGAAGAGGATGCCGAAAGGCAAGAATCAGCCAGTCACTTCTATAGCAGTGGATTAGCATATATTTCAGCACCGTTTAGAAATTTTGATGCATTGGGTAAATCAAAAGGCAAAAACAACTTGTAACTTACAGTAAAATATGTTGATTCTTGAGAATCTATTGCTTCTATATATGGAGCCATATCCCATTCTGCGGAAATACAGTAGAACAAATAAACAAAAATAAAAGACCAAGTCCCATTCTCATCATCACTGGGGAAACAAAGCCAGTTTACAGAAACGCTCCTAAGATAATTATAGTTTACCATCACGCTAACACAGTGATGAATCTCTTCAAGCATGTTTAGATAGTTTTCAGAAAGTTTCCTGATAAATTCAGATGCTTGGTCAATTTCAGAATCATTATTACTTAGACTGCTACATTATCCAAGTGTCTTCTCTTCACTACATGTGTCTGCACTTAAAACTCTATTATGGAGTGTTCTCTTCATTAAGCATATGTAATACATCTGAATTTCCATATACTTACTTTGCATCTCATCTTGCCGACTACCCCTTTCAATTAAAAGGCATTGACCCAAAACCAATGCTTGTTCAACTGGTTTTAAAGGAGCACCATCTTTTCCAGCTTCGTTGCCTTTATCGAGTAGCTTTGGTGTCATATATATGTCAGGGACTTCACCTCCCCAAGATTTTTGAACTCCAATATCAGATTTTCCAGAAGATAACATAATGTCCCCATCGGATGAGCTGGTATTGGCAACCAATACCATTTGTGCCTTTGGTTCTACCTAAAAACAGATCACACAAGTTAAGAATAAAACGAGTAAATAAAATGAACCAATAAAACTCTAAGCATACTTGATGAACCGTGCGAAAACCAAGAGCTCCAGTGAGAGAGAGTTTAAATCCCGCTGCCACTCCGGCAGATTCAAGCTGCAGCCTGACAAATGATTGTTAAAGATTAGAACCAATATGATATATCCCAGATTTAACAGACTGAAAATCTCCTATGCATGCATTCGGGAAATCGGATTAACAGGTGGGTCGTCAAAAGGGGCATGAAATGGTATGTTATGGTCAAAACATTAATACGAAGAGGGAGCCACTACAACTTTCGTAAATCCCCTTTCACTGGTACAACAAATAAACAAGTGATCAACACAATGAACTTCATAAATACGTTATCAGAACCCGAATAAGTCGACAACCTCACCTTTTTCAGAAAGGAGGCTGTGAGGGAACCCAACTAATTTGGTTATTAAATTTACTGCCACGCGAAGTTCTTAATGAAAGCATTGCGGAAGTATAAATGCTATTTCAATGATAACTTACCGACAAGAATCAATCCTTCCATAAATATATTGCAACACACCTGCTTCCATATGGACAATTGACACGATGGATGAAACTTCATCATCTTTTAATTTGCCAAGCCAGTAGCTTTTAACTTCTTCCAGCGCTCCAAACTGGTCTAGAGCTTCAGCCATATAAACTTGTGACAGATCAAACAAGGATGAAGAACGCTCGTGCAGAACTCTTTGATGAATGAGGAAAACTCTGACGAGCCACCATGAAATACTCCTAAATCCAAATGTTTCCACTACAGTTGTCTCAAACAACAGATCTTTCATCCTTAACAGTAGCATTTTAGCAAACACAAGATACTGCAGGGCATAAAAACGTAGGTTGGGTTATGCGAAATTAGCTAACAAGAACAGAACAAGACTACTTAAAACTACATATATAAAGTAAAAGAAGTGATTAAGATATAAACATAGGCCCATGGAAAATATTAGGATCTCAAAAGTAATGCAGCAGGAGCAAAATTTGGTGGCTAGAGATCTTATACCATTTCAAAGACCCTTACGTATTTGTACACATTAACATCCCTATTGAGATGCATATTATTTTGCTGATACTTTAAGGTGGTTCACATATAAAAGACACACTATGGTACTCAGCTGACACGCCGCCAGAAGCACCGAGCCATCACTGGAAAAAAGGATTAGTCCCAGTAAGAGCCTACAGCTCGTATATAAACAGAGAGGCAGATGGAAACAAAGCCCTGGTTATAGGAATATAAAGACGTGCTAAAAACCATCCAAAGTCTATGATTGCAATGCGTATAAGGAATTTCATTATTTGCTCTCAGACATTAACTTCAACAAGAACACACTTAAGGCAACCATTCTTCTTTCAACAAACAGGCAGAGAACCACTAAAACAACTAAAGCAAATGAAAATGCAAATAAACGAAGGCAGGCTACAAATTTGAATATGCAAAACAATGCAGCACTAAATGGCATACCTGGAGATTCGAAAACTTCCCGAGCAAGTCAGAGCCTACAGACATGAGCTGAATCTTTGCCCAGTTCTCCCATTCAACAAATTCCTTGCTTTCTGATACTTTGAACGGCACTGGACATTTTGGCAGTCCCTCCGCAGGTCTACAAGTTGAAAAACCAAACCATATTGTAATTATTTCCAAGAAACAAATTCTACTTCTCTAAAATCGTACTATATCATAACGAAAAAGATCGAGTTTTTCATATTTCGACCGCGAATAGACAGTGTAGAACGAAATTAAAAGATTCTAACGCTCGCACCTATAAACTCTGACAGTTCAGTGAGCCAAGTGGGTAACTTACCCTGTCAGATTACAACGAGTGAACCACAAAGCCGCAGAGATTGCAATGCACATCACCAAAACGACGCGACGGGCCTTTTCGCTGTCATCTTTCGAACCGTTCGCGACGAACGATTCGACGCGGTCGAGAAGCTCGGAGTAAATTCGGTCGGCGGACTCAAATGAGTCAACGATTTCGAACTCAACATCACCGAAGATCATCCGCGGGGCGTCGGAGGCTAGGGTTCCGAGATAATCCCCGGCCTCGATGGAGGACAATAGGACCCGGATAAGCGAGTCGTGCGGGTGGATTTGAGATTGGGAGCCATCCAACGGCTGAGATTGAGGAGAGGGAGAATCAGACAGAGGAGGAGACACAGTCGATCGGAGAAGACGGAGCTCGTAACCGCGGAGGATTTGGACTTCTTGGTCGGCGGCCATGGTTAAACGGAAGAACTGAGAACAGGCGAGAGGTTCTGTGGGGTTTTATTATTTCTCGTGTTGATTGCAACGAAAACGTCGCCGTTTCATACTCTTAAAGAATTACGAAACCGCCCCACAAAGTTATATATTTTATGAAACGCTCCGCTATGTTTGTTTAAGGTCAAATAAAACCCAAGCAATTCTTTCAGTGGATTTCAATCTTGGACGGGTTATTGAGCCCGAGTCCATGACCTCCATCCTTTATACCGTTTAGGTTATAAGATAAAGAAAAAAAATGTAAATCAAATTTTGGGTTACATATTTAGGAGAAACAAAAAGTAAGTATTCTCTAAGTTTATTATTATTATAAGTTCTGATTAGTAAACTTAAAAGTCTTCAAATCATTTGAATTTTCGTAGTTAACTTATAGCGTTAATTTCATAACCTTTTTTTAAAAAAATAATTCGGCCGATTATTCCAAAGTAGTACAGTTTTCTAGAACGATGGATTATTAGAAATCTTCAAAAAACTAAACCCAAAAAAATATTATTGCATCACTTTATCGACGAAATATTTGAGAGAGAAAGAGATAATGTCATTAGGGAGAAAGATGTTTTTTTTTTTTTATTTCATACGGATGCCTTTTTAAATACAAAACAAAAACAACGTGGAAAGAGAATGTGGGCAATAAAACAAGATTATTTCTAACAATCTCTCTTAATCTTGTCTTTCGATCTTCGTCACAATCACGTCGGTTCCTCGTAGATTTCTTCTGCGAGATGGATTTCTTCGTCATTTTTTTCGGTTTTCGATCTAGGACATTCAGAAGCGTAATATCCATACTTTTGACAAGTAAACACTGTATATGTCATTTATCACGTTCACCTCGTCCACATCCACGACCTCTTCCACGTTTTTGTCGAGTTTGCCACTCTGCATAAGTGAACAAAAGTTGTCCATCGGAGTTATCACCCATATTACGCATCCGAATGATTCGGTCCTCAAATACTTTCATTCTCCCGATCGCTTCCTCGAACGGCATGTTATCAATATCTGAATATTGTTCTATAGATGCAACTAATTGAAAAAAATTATCTGGCACCGAATCAAGAAGTTTCCTAACGAGTGCGCCATCCTCGAGTAGCACCAAGATCACTGTATTGGTTGACCATACTGCTCAATTTTCCGGTAAATTCATCAATCGTCTCACCTTCATTCATACGCAAAGCGTCGAATTCACTTTTCAAGGTTCGCAAACGTGCCTTCTGCACACGATCAACCCCCACGTACCGAGTCTTCAGGGATTCCCAAATCTCACTAGCGGATTTCTTCTTTGCTATCTGCATAAGAACATCTTCCGGTACCGTTTGAAAGATGAACGCCCGAACTACCTTATTCTTTTTCTCGTCTACGACCACTCCGGTCGCAGGTTCAACTGCGTCCCAGATCCCCTGGGCATCCATGATCGCCTCCATCTTGATCGCCCATGTCGTATAATTGGACGACGTCAACATGGGGCATTGCAACGATACACCGCCGTTTTCCTTTATTCCTTGAGTAATGAGTGACATAGATACTCACACGAGTTTTTCCGACTAGACATAGGTCCTCCCGACCAAACACGGTCTTCCCGACCAAATATAGGTCCTCCCGACCAGATATGGGTCCTCCTCACCAAGCACAGGTTCTATCGACCGGGCTCTGATACCACTATTAGAAATTTTCAAAAAACTAAACCCAAAAAAATATTATTGCATCACTTTATCGACGAAAATATTATATCGAAGAAATATGAAAAAATATTTGAGAGATAAAGAGATAATATCATTAGGGAAAAATATGTTTTTTTTTTATTTTATGCGGATGCCTTTTTAAATACAAAACAAACATGAGTTACCAATTGAATTTCATTCCATATCGAACAGTTATAAATTTATAATATTCAATTAAATTCGCACAACGTGTCAGATCTTGTGATGACGCAAGTAGTGACGCAACGGTCCATTTTTTTTAATGATATTATGAAACAATCTAATGTATTTATTTATTTATTTTCTAAAACGGTTAAAACATAAAAACATAATAGCAATTTATGGGCCACACATTATAGCAATTACGCCAACACCGATCTCACCATGTCTGCATATTATTATTGGTGGTGAGTGACATCTAATACCAATAATGTGTTGCCATGTTTTCCGTCGACAATCTCATAAATTAAAATTAAATTGAATTTATATTGTTTTCTGTAACGATGATTTTTAGTTTCCTTGCTTATAACAAAAATTAACGTACTGTTCTTCTATTAAAATGAGTGCTGCTTGCAACAAAAAAGTTCGGGTAAAAACATTTTGAAGAGATGCATGGTTATATTTTAATTTGCTATTTTTATTAGGATAATTAATATCGCGGATATCCTTAGAAAAACGGATTGGAAATATAGAATATTCGGCAAAAGGAATTCGATAACGAATATTAGATTTATTCTAAATATTAGATTCGTATCTATTACAATATAATATCATAGTACGGACCATTGATTTATAAAAAATATACAAGAGTTAAATGCATATGGGCCCTTCGGGGCCAGGTCAGGTGGTAAGGGAGCAGGGTGAGTAACCCTGAGGTGGAGGGATCGAATCCCAACATCGCTCTTCTTTACGCTTGACCTGCTCGCCTGTCAGCCCATCCTAATGGACTGATTTACCTCCTCCGCGTGTGTTGCAGGCTCGTGCGCGTGGGCGGGGGGTTTAACCTACAGGCGCCTAAGCCCAACTACGGCTCGAGCATTAGGCGCATCTGGTGGCCAGGTCCGGCGGACTGAGGTCCATGGGGACTGTTAGGCGCGGGTGGTGGCCAGTTCGGCACCGTTTGTAAGGGTAGATAGTCATCCCCACGTTAACAAAAAAAAAAAAAAAGTTAAATGCATATGCATTGAATGTTCAATGGAAGTGTGACTACGAGACAAAATAGGGACCAAAAAGGGAAGTGAAACAAAAGACGGAGAAATAAACAAAGCCCTCTGAATGAATCAGAAGCTTTGGTGAAAGCGAGGCCACCGAGGGGGAAACCAAACCACTAACGAAATCTAACATTTTCACTTTTCACCTATCACGTAAAGCCACGTGTAAAAGCCCTCCCACTACGCTCGGTGCTCCGCACCTGATAAGCTTATCTTTCTCCTATTGGCCATGGCATCCACGTGTCGCCACTGTAGCTCCGTTACGGGTATGGGCCCACATGGACCCTTAAACATGTATTGCTTTTTATTCACACGTTTTATGTTTTAGATTTGTCGGGTGGGGGTTAATTGCTAAAAATATTTCACCTTGATTTCAATGGGTTGGCCACCCCAAGAAAATAACTCTTATTTTAATTAATTTTCTATATTTATTATATTTTCGTGACGCTAATTTTTTTTAATAATACAATATATTTTGGCTAATCTCATCACGTTGGAAAATTTTAGTTAACATTATTTATCTCTCTTCTATTCGGTTATATTGTATAACTAAATAAATCGAACCAAATTATATATTATGGTAAGTTTATCTAAAAGTTAAGTTTTTTTTCTCTAAAATTAAATTCATTTCAAATTTAAATCAAAATATAAATTATTTAAGAATTTTAATTAAAAGTATTATAACGGTATTTTTTTATAAATGAAACACACTGAACCAAATAAAACTTATATCGATTTTAAAATAAAATGAAACAATTCTAATCTTTAAAAACCCATCAAAATCAAATCCAACTAAAAAAATTAACCAAAACCAAAAATACTAATCCATATCCAACAACATTAATCAGTCAACTTATCAGAATGAAAAATAGCCTTTTCGAAAGGAACAAACAACCCATGGTGACCGAGTGGTGAAAGGGTGTTGCTCTTTGGGCCCCGGTCGTCAGTTCGAAACCAGCTGATAGGGTTATTTCTCGGTTGGGAGGGTGTTGCTCTCTGGACCTCTGTCGCCGAGCCTCTAAAGGCTGCTTCCGGACCTAGAGGGATGTAGGTTGGGGCGAAGGTCCAGGTGAACCTCCTAGTTAACGGAAAAAAAAAGGAACAAACACCAAAGGGGGTTTAAATCAAAATAAGATAGTGGAAAAAATATACTAATTGGAAAAAAATGTAAAAGGGATAAAAACAAAAAAAAAAAAAAATCGACGGCTATTGTTTTTTTATCGGGACCATAATTTTTTCACGGACAAAACACAAACTAAAAATGGCCACGACCCTATGATTGTGTACAACTCGACTCGGCACTCCACAATAAATTACACAGGAAAAAAACTAACGATTTTTGTCTCTTTTCTGAATTTCAATTAAGGCAAAAGAAAGAGGAAAAAAAAAACCCTATTTGAGTGGGTGATATTTTACGAGGGAGGGAGAGAGTTATACATGTGTGTACATATATATGTATGTGTTTTACGTGTATATGGTGCGAGTGGCTTTTGCCATTGTTTCTGGGTTTTATACTTTCTTTTGACATTGATGGGTCAAACTGTTTTCTTGTCTTCATAAATAAATTGTTCGTTTGAGAAACTAATTAATTGTTCGAATCTCCTCCGTCTCGTGATTTGCTCATACACAGAGAGAGAGAGATGATTTCGCGTTTCTCCCTCAGTTAAGGTCGTTTGGTTGGTTGGCTTTCTCTCCCATGTTTCTTTCATGTTTCCGCAAATTTTCACTCTTTGTTCAATTTGAAGATACGGGAAAAACGCCAGAGCCCAGTTCGCTGGTCTGATTTCTGCTCAATTCTTTATGAATTCAAGCGAAAAACGGAGAAACCCAGTTGGGCAATGGAGAACTCACAGTCCCCTCTGAAGCTCTTGTTCTATTTTTTTTCTCTTCTACTGCTGTTAACTGATTTTAGCTTTGCAAAATCGAAACTTTTCCTTTGAAAAATCGAATCTTTTAGTGGGAAACATATCCGGAAGGAAGATCTCGATTTGTTCTAATAAGCTAATTTGGGATTTTTTCTTTTCTTTTTTGGTTCCAGTGGCAGGAAGCTTGTGCTGATTTGTTTAGTCCTGGTGGCACTACCATATATCGTCTGTTCTTCAGCGTGAAAGCCAATTGGGTTGCGTCTAAAGTAAGTGAAAAATCCGATTTGGTTCGTCTCCGGACGAACAAAGGAAAACCCACCAAAAAACAAAGTTCGAATCTTTCTGTCCGTGGAATTTTAGCATGTCTGTGGCGGTATCATGGGTTGCTTCCCCAAATTCAGAGCTATTAAGCAGATACGGCTTCGAAAGGGTAATAGAATCTTCTAGATTCTTCTCTAGTCGTCAGAATCCGAAAGCTATTAAGAGTAGGAAGCAGAGATGGAGTGGAAATGGCGGCGGCGGTGGTGTGGTGGTTTCGAGCATGGTTGCTAGCCCTGCGGGAGAGCTGACCCTCTCATCCGAGGAGAAGGTTTACAATGTCGTGTTGAAACAGGCGGCTCTGGTGAACAGGCAGCTGAGATCTGCTCCTGCTGATGTTGATGTGAAGCCGGACGTTGTTCTTCCGGGGACGTTGAGTGAGGCGTACGACCGATGCGGAGAAGTTTGTGCAGAATACGCGAAAACCTTCTATCTCGGTTAGGGTTTTCTCTCCTTTCCCACGGGATCCGTCCTTTTGGATTCGGTGTTTCTCCTCGGGGTTTTCTTTAGAGATTTCCGCCTTTTGATGTTGTCCAGGGACATTGCTTATGACACCCGAAAGGCGGAAGGCTATTTGGGCGATATACGGTGAGTTAGTTTTCACGAAAACTCTGGTCCGAAAGAACGGGAGAGAACCTCGAATCACGGATTCGGATTCGAATGCCGGGAAGCGTATCTCTTCAATCTGTTAAGAGACACAAACCACATTTGGTTAAATAGTTCTGTTGGCAACTGTTAGAACAAAGACATAGTAGTTCCATTGCATTGAGTTATATCAACTCTGATGCATGTTCTGCATCACTTTGTTCTCTTTTATGACCCAAGAACATGAATCAGCATCTTACCCAAGTCATGCTTGGGAAAGTTCTCTTATATTCTGAAATGGGTCCTGAATCTTAAGTTAAGATCCTCGTTAGTCATTACACATAGCTTTTTTTCTCATTCCTGTCTTGTAATGAAGGGGCTTAGGGTTTAGGGGTCGGAACACATTCTTTGCTGTAAGTGTGTTTGAAGTTGAATGGTTACTAATGCAGTTTGGTGTAGAAGAACCGACGAACTCGTAGATGGACCTAATGCTTCACATATAACACCAACGGCTCTGGACAGATGGGAAGCAAGGTTAGATGATCTTTTCCGAGGCCGTCCTTTCGATATGCTCGACGCTGCTCTCGCTGATACAGTTTCCCAATACCCCGTCGATATTCAGGTTCGGTTCAATCCAAGACATTAATCTTCTTTTTCTTGGGTCTAGCCTTCCTCCTGAAATGACCATCCAAAAAATTCTTGTAATGCTTTCTGCCAGCCATTTAGAGATATGATAGAAGGAATGAGAATGGACCTGAGGAAATCGAGATACCAGAACTTCGACGAGCTCTATATGTACTGTTATTACGTCGCCGGGACAGTGGGATTGATGAGTGTTCCTGTGATGGGTATCGACCCGAAATCGAAAGCTACGACCGAGAGCGTCTATAATGCGGCCTTGGCCCTCGGGATTGCGAATCAGCTCACCAACATTCTCAGAGACGTAGGGGAAGAGTGAGTCACCTTTATATATGAAAAAAGAAAGAAAAATTTCATATAAATACTCAGAATTTGTTACCAACTTTGAGATTAATACATCAACTTTAAAATTCCCAAGAAAATATACAAACTTTTACCGACTCCTAGTTAAATCCATGAATTTAACAAATGCTCCAAAAAACTCAAATAAGAAACGACATTTCATAATTTAGCTGGAAGTCAGGAAAAGTTTTGTGTATTTTTCTAGGAATTTTAAAGTTTTTGTATTAATTTGATAACAAATTCGTGTATTTATATGGAATTTTTCCGGAAAAAAAAGACCGTACAAGAAATCAGTTTCGTATTTCACATTTCGCTCTTATTTGGTTTGCTGCATTAGCGCAAGAAGAGGAAGGGTGTACCTGCCGCAGGACGAGTTGACTCAGGCGGGTCTTTCCGATGAAGATATCTTCGCCGGAAGAGTTACCGAGAAATGGAGAAACTTCATGAAAATGCAGATCAAACGGGCACGAAAGTTCTTCGATGAAGCTGAGAAAGGTGTCACTGAGCTCAGCTCCGCAAGCCGATGGCCGGTACGTCTCCCTCCCACTCTTTTTCAACTGTTGGTTTATGCAAAAAATAACGAAGAACCATTTTTGAAAAAATTGTTAAACTTGCTAGAAAACCGAGCTTCAGAGTGAGAAAATACAGAAACTTTATACCGATTCTGAAGTTTAAATACCTCGATTCTACCTTCTGTGTTCGATCGGAAACGGGGTTTCTTCAGGTATGGGCATCGTTGCTTCTGTACCGGAGAATACTGGATGAGATCGAAGCCAACGATTACAACAATTTCACGAAGAGAGCTTACGTGAGCAAAGCCAAGAAGATCGCAGCTTTGCCTGCAGCTTATGCTAAGTCACTGTTCAGTTCTTCAAGGTTGTCTTCTTCCTCCACGTGATAACACTTGCGAAGATTCTAACAAAGCTCAAAACTTTGTGATTGAAAACAAAACATTAGGTACATATCTATACTGAGATGAGAAGGAAAAAAAGAAAAGAAAAGCATCCATATATGTACTATTATAATTCTTGTGTATGAATTGAATTTAGGATTACCAAAAAATGTATTTGTAATTTCTATCTTGCTAATCTTATGGTAAGTTCATTATAAGATACAAAAAAAATCTGGAAACGACGGAGCTTATATTATACCACTAGTGGGTAACAAGGACCTTGGATGTACGGACATCCTCCTGATAAACAGGGAGTAGATGACGTCAGCAAATCCAGGCCTGGGCACGAGGTCTATTCAGTGCGTGTGACAACGCTCATGTCATCTTTGCCCTAAAGAAATCCATCTATCTCATCTTCTTTGACAGAGGCAACTGAATATTCCAGTCATTGTTAGAGAGAACACTAAGATGGCCATCAAGATGAAGACTTTACCTCTTAAGCGGGAGTCACTCCACAAATCTCTAACAGCAACTCCAACTGCAGAGGCTGCAAAAGGACAGAGAAAAATGGGCATTTTGGGTATGTTTCAAGGGTCAGAATGTGACAACTGATTCACAGGAAATGACCCTCGTTTCTTTCCCATCACGTTGTCGGGTATAGCAAACTGAAACTCTTTATTTCCTAATATCCTATCCTCCATATCCAGAATTGGATGATGGGGTCAACTCCACATCCAGAATGGGATGCCCATTTTACGTTATATGACCAGACCTAGTGTAGGTATCAGAAAACAGCTTCAGCTTTGATCAGAATTCAGATGCAACATACGCATCAGAAACTAGTTGTCTGACAGATTGCATCTGACAGAATGAGTTTTCATTGCTATCTGCTATAAACAACCGATTTCAGACACAATCAACAGTTGCCTTCACATCCAACACCCTGTCGGCTGTCGCAGGCTAGCAACTCATCCTCAGATTTCCACCCCAATGTATCAAATTCAAGCAATGTATTTCCAAAAGACAAAGTGATGGGTCGATCAACGAGTGGCAAGAGAGAATCTATAAAACGCCAAAATCCGATGAAACGAAGGAGAAAACATGTCAGAAATAAAAAACTGATCAAATAAGGCAAAAGCAAAAAGGATATATATCCTTCAATATCCAGGATACAAAAGCAACATCAAGTAGAGGGAAACACTAAAAGGCCTAACAAGACAAGGAAACGACACTTCCTCATTGAATCCAAAACGGCATTACCGCAAATGGAACCTGCGAATCGCGATCTAATCCTTGTTCTTTAACCTCTCGATCCGCTGGTTAAGCTGCTCGATCCTGACAACCAGATGGGTGACAGAATACAGAATCCAGTAGAACAACAACGCCGCAGCGATCAAGATCGCGTTTCGCTGAGACTTCATGATGGATTTCTGGTGACGAAGAAGCTCCGTCGGAGAGCAGGACTCTCCGTCGCACGAAGGACGCATCTCGTACTTCCAGTATATATCCATGAGGAGGAAGAGACAGAAGGGAACCACCGAGAGGAACGGCTTCAGGAGATTGCGCGTGACGGCGACCAGCCCCTTGCGGAGACCGTCGAGACCCGGTAGGGTCAGAAGGACCACCATGATCGCCTCCGCCGCAGCTGCGTATCCCAACACGACCCACTCCAGCGCCATCGTTTGCCGGAAAATCTGGATCTTACGCCGACGGATTCGAATTGTGAATTTTGAATTCGGTGGTTTGAATTTGCAAGAAACTGATTGTTTTCCTTTTCCTTCGTGAGCAAGATAGTCGGAGTTTGTGCTCGGCGCAATAACTAAAAAAAGGAAGAATTTTAACGGGCCGGGTTTCAGTTAGGCCGTATTGGGCTTATCTTTTTGTAATTCATTTGTTCCATATAATTTTATTTCTAGTAAATTTTGTTAATTTTAAAATATAAAATAGTTAATTTTATTGAATATATCCATACCAGGTAATACGAGGGTATACTTTTGTAGGGTGTCAAACTAGAAGGTTTAGGGTTCGGATTTGGATCGGTCCAATTTTTTTTAGGGTTTATACAATCAAGTCGGACTGAGTCGTTCAGTTCTTTACATTTTTTAATTTTTTTTATTATTTTAAAAAAATATATCATTTCTGGTCAATAAAGTTCGATTTGAATCCGATTCAAAATTTTGAATTTTTCGAATATAGATCCAAATTTTTATGTTAGATTTGAGTCAGGGTTCGGATCAAAATCGATATATATATATATTAATAAACAACAATATGGTGTATGCTCAGTCTCGCAATTATGACCGTTGGGAAAATGATCTTGTATGTACACACACACTTTCATGCAACAAGATCATAGGGAAGAGCCATGATTCGGCCCAATGGGCCGACGATGAAGGCCCATGGAATATTGTTATGTTTTAAAGGATGAAAGTGAAAACGGTGGCGTTTGGTAGGTGAATATGATTTTGAGTAACAGCTAAGGGAAAGTACGGTGTTTTGTTTTGTCTCCCATCTCTCTTGGAGTCTGTATATATATATATATACACACACACACAGTCTCTCACAATGCTTGAGAAAAAGATATCACCAAACCTAGAGAGAGAAAAAGAATTGTCTGTGTAGAGAGAGAGAGAGGAGAAAAAAGTGTATGGCAGCCAAATCCAAGAGCCTTCAGTGGATCGCCGGCTTCGGAAAGCAACTCGTCGTCGGCCTCCGCCCACGCGCTCCTCCACGCGCCGCCGTGCTTTCTTTCTCTAGGTTTATCTCTCTCTCTCTCTCTCTCTCCCTTTTCTTATTTGGTGGTTTAGGAGTTGAACTTTGGTTATAGAACGACTGTTTTGGTAGTTTATTAAGAGTATTTCAAGGAGTAGCCGTGATCTAAGGGTAGATTACTGAAGAAAAAATGGATTTTAAAAATTCTGGATATTTTGAAAATAATTTTTTAGGTAATTTATTGTATTTTTGAAATAAAAATAATGTTTTTCGCAGGAAAGTTTGGTTATTAAAACATTTGCATTATTTTGGGAAGCTATATGCTTCTTGTTGTAGGTCCAAACAAAAAGTTTGATACATTTGGATCATTTTCGCGTGAATTCTGTAAGGGAAAGGTATACTCGGCGCAATACTTTTGATGTATTAGAGAGGAGCTTATATACATACATACAGAGCCTGTAAACCTAGGTGAAAAGGAAAGTACAAGAAGAGGAAAGTTGCAGAACATGGTAACAAGTATATACATATTCCTATACGCCCCCGCAAGACGGAGCACCGTCGGTGAGTCCGATCTTGGAGCTGAAGGTGGTGAACAGAGATAGAGGCAGGGGTTTCGTCAGGATGTCAGCAAGTTGATCCTTGCAGCTGATATGGGAAACGCGGAGACTGCCATCTGCAATTTGGCTGCGAACAAAGAAGTAATCGAGGGCAAGATGCTTCATCCGTGAGTGGAATACAGGATTCGCGCTTAGATATGTGGCCCCGATGTTATCACAGTGTATAGTCGGTGGGTTTGGTGGATCAACACGAAGCTCAGATAAGAGGTTGAGGAGCCACCGAACTTCTGCTGATGTATTTGCTACTGATCGATATTCGGCTTCTGTGGAAGAACGAGAGATGACGGACTGTTTCTTGGAGGACCAGGAAATGGGATGACAACCAAGATAGACAACGTATGCTCCCGTAGACTTGAAGTCGGATCTATCACCAGCCCAGTCCGCGTCGCTGAAGGCATGAAGGTTGAATGAATTCTGAGCAGAGAGAAATATGCCTCTGTTTGTCGAACCAGCAAGGAACCGAAGGAGACGCTTGACAGATTTCCAATGCTCATCAGTCGGTTTGTGCATGAATTGTGATAATTTATTGACAGCGAAGCTAATATCCGGTCTTGTGAGGGCCAGATATTGCAGCGAACCAACTGTCCGTCTGTATTCGGTAGCATCAGGTAGAGGGGAGCCCGAGTCAATGGTGAGCCGAGATGAGGAGGACATAGGGGTGAAGACAGGTTTGGCATCCAGCATGTTCGTTCGGCCAAGCAAATCACGGATGTATTTCCGCTGGCAGAGAAACAGTCCACAGGAGTTGCGTTGAGCTTCAACACCGAGAAAGTAGGAAAGAGACCCAAGATCCTTCAAGGAGAATTTGGCCGAGAGTGCGCTGATGAAGTTCTGGACGTGTTCAACCGTGTTTCCCGTCACTACAATGTCGTCTACGTAGACAAGTAGGTACAGTCGTGTCCCATTTTTGTCAAGAATGAAGAGCGAGGCATCTGCCAGGGAATTCACAAAGCCGAGAGCTAACAGAAAGTGGCGGAGTTCAGAATACCAGGCTCGGGGAGCCTGTTTGAGCCCGTATATGGCTTTGTTGAGCTTACAGACAAATGTTGGATGATCTCTGTCAATAAATCCTGGGGGCTGATCCATGTAAACTGCCTCGGAGAGTCGGCCTTGTAGGAAAGCGTTATTGATGTCTAGCTGATGAACCGGCCAACCGAGGGAGATAGCAACGCTGAGAACTGTGCGAATGGTTGCAGGCTTGACTACAGGGCTGTATGTGTCATGGAAATCGAGCCCGGGGCGTTGGTGGAAGCCCTTGGCAACGAGCCTTGCTTTGTAGCGTTCGATTGTGCCATCGGGGTGACGTTTGACACGATAGACCCATTTGCAGCCTATCACATTAGGGATGTCAACCGGAGGAATAAGATCCCACGTGCCATTCCGAACTAGCGCGTCAAATTCTGAACTCATTGCCTTCCTCCAACATTCCTGTTTGAGAGCTTGAGAAAGTGTCGTTGGTTCCATGTCATTCTGATTTTCTGTGACAACAAGAGCAAACTTTGGATTAGGCTTGGAAATATTAGCTTTAGCTCGAGTTACCATCGGATGATGGTTTAGGTGCTCTGAAACATCAGGAGATGAATCAGACGGTGACAGCTGCTGGTCCAGAGCATCGGCAACAGTGGGTGTTGTTGTGCTGGTAGCCGAGGCAGGTGACGACGGTGCAGAAACGACCGGCGGTGGTGAAGGAGCCACGCTCGAGGGTATTGCCGCAGGAGGTGAAGTGAGTGGCGACTGGAAAGGAGAAATTAAGGTAACTGATGGGGCTGATGATTCTTGGGACAAGGAATTAGATGTAGACGGAGATAGGAATGGTGACTGGGAAGCAAAGGGGAAGATAGTTTCCTGGAAAACAACATGGCGGGAGACATATATTCTGGAGGTGATGGGATCTAGACAGAGATATCCACTTTGAGTGGAAGAGTAACCAATGAAGACACATGGTGTGGACCTAGGATCGAGTTTATGTGTGGTGTATGGTCTTAGCCATGGATAGCAAAGGCAGCCAAATACCTTTAGCTTCATGTAATTCGGAGGATGACCGAATAGAGACTCAAAAGGGGACAGCATGTTAAGGATGGAAGTCGGCATTCTATTAATTAGGTAGACTGCCGTTGTGAGGGCGTAAGACCAGTACGATAAAGGTAAAGAAGCATGCATGAGGAGAGAAAGTCCGGTCTCTACTATATGTCGGTGTCTACGTTCGGAAATACCGTTGTGCTCGGGAGTGTGAGGAGGTGTGGTGTAATGGCTAATTCCATGGTGAGCAAGAAATGAGGCTAAGGCAATGAATTCCCCACCGTTGTCAGTATAAAAATTTGTAATGGTGGTGGAGAATTTGTTTTCTACGAGAGCTTTGAATCTGATAAAGGTGTCGCGGACTTGGGATTTTTGTTTAAGTGGATATAGCCAAGAATAGCGGGTAAAGTGGTCAACAAATAGCACATAATACTTAAAGCCATCAGTGGAAATAATGGGTGATGTCCAAACATCCGAAAATAAAAATTCCAATGGTCGAGAAGAGGTAATAGTCGAGGTAAGAAAGGGAAGTTTGTGGCTTTTATTTCGATGACAAGAATCACAATGCGAATGAGAAAAATTCCGAGAAAATGGTAAAGCAAACGTAGACACCACATGTTTTAAGACAGACAAAGAGGGATGACCTAGACGCGAATGCCACTCGGACAAAGTGGACTTGAGACTCGAAAAGGCGAAAATTGAAGGGGGACGGGTTTGGGAAGTCGGCCACTCATAAACACCATCCTTAGTTCTTCCGGTGAGAAGCGGCGCCCCCGTGCTTAGATCCTTCACCTGAAACATGGTCGGATAAAATTCCACCGAAACTCCATTAGTCTTGCATAATTGATAAACGGAGACAAGATTCTTGCGAATTGATGGTACGCATAAGACATTGTCCAAATCAATAGATCGTGTAGGAAGGGACAGAGATATGGAACCCGTATGTGTAATGGGGAGTCCAGTGCCATCACCAATCACGACGTCGTCTCCACCGGAATATGGTTGGTGCAAACTGAGGGATTGAAGATCGGAGGTGATGTGGTGAGAAGCCCCACTGTCAAGCAACCACGGTGTCGGGTCGTAAGGAGAATGCATGGTGGCATGTGCACTTGGACGCCACTGTCTTGATGGAACAGACCATGGGGGTTGTTGTGATGTAGGATGGTACTGATCATGAGGGTTGTTGTTGGCGACCAGCTGGTATTGGTGGCATCTCTTGGCACTGTGGCCATGGACGCCACACGCTTGACAGCGACCACGGTGTGGTCTCGATGCTTGATAGGTCGATGCAGAGTTGTTACGCCAATGTGAGTTTGAGTTGCTGTGAGGAGAAGGTGAATGGCGACGGGGCTTGGCACTGGTTGGATTGGCTGTCACAGGAAAGATCTGTGATGAAGGAACAGCAGTGGCAGCAAGTTTGGCTTCTTGATTAAGAAGCTTTTCGTGCAATTCTTCGAGGGAAATTGCAGTGTCCTTCGCATTCACCATATCAATTGTTGGCCTATACTCTTCAGGGAGTCCATCAAGGACAGCCTCAAGGACATCCTCGGGATCCATCGGTTTGCCGAGTAATGCGAGTTCATCAGTTTTAGACATGATGAATCGAAAGTACTCATCGACAGATTGAGTTCCCTTAATACTTTTGCGAATCTGATCACGCAATTGAAGAATGTGTCCTCTCGATGCTTTTCCATATGTATTTGCCAGGGTATTCCAGGCATCACGAACAGTTGTTGAGCGGGCTACAAGGGGTTGAAGATTGATGGAGAGAGAGCCAAGGAGAGAACTAAAGAGGAGTCGATCCTGCTGCTTCCATGGAGTGAATGCAGAATTTGGCATGGTAACGCCATCAACAATGATTGTCGGAGGAGGAATGACAGAGTCATCCTTGATGAAGCACTCAAGATTGTGACCTTCGAGGAAGGCTCGGACTTGTAAGCTCCATGTCAGATAATTTGTGGAGGTGAGTTTGGTGATGCTGGACATGTTGCATGAGAGGATGGTTTTCTGTGGGTCTTGAGGATTGAAGGTCACGGCAGCCTCAGGATTTTGGGCAGCTGGAACAGTGGGCTCTGCAGTGTGGCCTGACGAAGAAGACATGGCTGTGATGGAGGAATTGGATTTGTCGTTAGACTTGCAGCTCTGATACCATGTAAGGGAAAGGTATACTCGGCGCAATACTTTTGATGTATTAGAGAGGAGCTTATATACATACATACAGAGCCTGTAAACCTAGGTGAAAAGGAAAGTACAAGAAGAGGAAAGTTGCAGAACATGGTAACAAGTATATACATATTCCTATAAATTCAGATTTTCATTGGACGTTTTCTTGAAAATACGCAACTTTTACTATATAATATAGTATCATCGGTCCAACCACTTTCTTGAAATTCTGTGGAAAAATTACTTAAAATATTATTGTATACCCAATATTCCAAAATAGAAAAGACAAAACTTGTGGTGTTTTATTTCTGATTTTATCCTCGAAACTCGTATATTTCTGTACTTTGATTGGCTGAAGAAATCTAAAAGATACTAACAAAAATACAAATATATAATATAAATTTTATAACTTTATTTTATTTAGAGAGAGAGAGAGAAGATGTTTCGTACGGGGATAGAATATGCCGCTGAGGAATAAGCACATAATAATATACGAATCGTAAATTGACACGTGTTAATCTTCGTTATTACGCTTTTATCCCTTACCGTAGCTTTCTTGTTTGATTGATTCCCTTTCCTCTTGGAATTCGTCTGTCTTTCATTCTTTGTTTTTAATTTGCTTTTCATTTAATGGGTCATGTTTTTTTTTTTAAACTTTTTTTCCCTTGGAACAATGTTTCGAATGATCTTTAACATTTTAAAATGTTTTACAACACGATCTAGTTTCTTTCTCATATTTATTAAAAGAAATTTACGAATAAGTTACCTTAGAGATACATAAAAAGAGAATTAGTCTCAAATAAAATTTATATTTCTTGTCACTAATGTGAATATTCACATATTTCATAGAAAAATAAAGACACGTTTTTTATTTTCGCTTTTTTGCCGCTTTTATTAATCTTTGTATATTCCGACGACTTCGTGAGCTCTTGTGCATATATTTTTATATGACGAGTACAAGCTTTTTATATCCGTAATCGGACCACATAATTTAATAATATATACATAGTTTATCGTGAACGCATAAGGGATGGATCCTGTTGACAAATTTGTTACATGCACCTGCGCCATGCCATATCTAAAAATATTGCATTTCTTTCACCGACCTTCTTGGCTGAATACAAATAATAATAATAAAGAATATATTTCAATTTCATCATATATATGTGTATTCCTTCAATCACTATCGTAAGGTCAGATAATATTTGGACCGACAGATAAACCCATCCCACTTGTACAATATAAGGTGTTTGTCAGTGGGAGTTGGAGCTGCGAGCGATCAACTCTTGAAGCTGACATTTTTATTTCAAGCTCTTATCGCCACGTGGAATTCATTTTTTTTTCTCCTTACAAGTGGATGAGGTTTCTAGAATTCCATCTTTTATTTTTATATATATTTTTCGAAATATGTTAATTGATGAGAAATTAAAAGTTAGGTAGGTTGGTTGAGAGCGTCTTGTTATTGTGGTTGTGTACACGACATGAACTTGAGGGCTGCGTCATCATCCTTGATCTCGTCGGGGTTATGACGTCACTGTCTCACTCACTGCCCCAATTCACGCCGTTATATTATTCTATTTTCTCCTATGTGGATTTCATCCATATAATATACATATTAAGCATGACATTAACTTGTCAGTCAGTCCAAGATTCTGGGCTAAGATTTCGATCTCAAATGTAAATTATAACATGGTGGGCAGGAGGAGTGGCCACTCATCGGCTTATGACAAGAACGTGGAGGAACAGGTGCAGCAGCCAAGTGTACTGCCGGATGAAGTGATCAGACTTGACTCCGACAAATACTGGGCCCCTCATCCTCAGACCGGTGTCTTTGGTCCCACTACCGATCAGGGCTCAGCCGCCATGGCTGCGGCCGTGGCTGAGCAGCGTGGCCAGGACTCGGTGCTGGAGGAGAAGGCCTGGTTCCGCCCCACGAGTCTCGAGGACCTGGACAAGACACACCATGCTTAGAAACCTATATATACATACATATATATATGTGTGTGTGTATGTATCCCAATGTCTTTCTCACTTCAAAGACTCCTGTTGTGGTAATAAAGAGAAACACACTTGTGTTGTCCATGAATCATCAGACTCGACTCTGCATGTTAGTGCTATTTCCCAAGCAAAAACCCATTTGCAGTGGAATGAGAGCAGTTGGTGTTTATGTAAATGTATGAGTGAATGCAATAACCATCTCTCCAGATCTGTTGTTCTCTCCTGCTTGATGTGTTCACCATACAACTTAACTGTGTGTTGAGAGTAGTTGAAAACCTCGAAAAGATGGTATGAATCACAACATCTAAAGATAAAAAGACGGGAAAGATTGCATCAACTTCTATCTATCATCTACAAATCAAGAATCATACTTTTGTCCTCCAAGTTCCAAATATCAAATCACAAGAATAAACTCAAAACTAAAGCCGAGACTAATCATAGATACAGTAGCTTCTTCTTCAGAGGAAATATACATCCAACCCCGTATGAACATTTCTAGTGTTATTTTTTTTCGTTAGACTTGCCCTTTGCGTACCGGTAACTCTTCTCTACGCAAATCGCTCTTCCTACAACTAAATCGATGTTGCTCAGAAAGACCCACCCATCACCCAGATTCATCCCAAACATGTGATTCTCAGTCTATGAGACGATGAAACAACCAAATAGGAAAGAGAAAGGTGACCATGTTTGTACCTGGCAAGTGAAACAACACAATGTACCTCCTATGGTTGATCTCTTCTTCTCTCGCTACTTGGCATAGACGTTTTCACAGCTGGCTTTGATGGTGGCCTATTTATCTTCTCAAGTAATCTACTAAATACTAATTTAATTGGTATGCAGGCCACTGTAGGTGGCCCTGCTAATACTCGCCCGTTAGAGAGATCGTGCGTCTGGGAGTTACTAGCATTGTAATGTAGTGGCTTCATCCCGTGCCCTGGTTCGCTGCCAAATGATGAGAGTGCCCTCGTCTTTTGATTGGCTGAAACACTTGTCTTCTTCGCTTGCTTCTTCTGCTGCTGCTTTCTCTCCGTAGGTGGCCGGGGAATGCGTACTACAGTTTTCCTAACTGAGTAAGCATCCCCACTAAAGTTTCCCAAACTTAATTTCTTAACCAGCTGTCTTCTTCCATGGTCCACCAAAGAATGATCAGTGTTAGCATCCTCATCGACTTCCAGCGATGAGAATGGATGCAGCCGACGAACTCGGGAATTGCTCCTCCTGGCCGTCTTCCATGCAGGGGGAAGTACAAAGGGTTTGTCATGGTACGTTGTTTCATTATCAATGTAATCAATTGAATGAAGATATGTCTCAGATAAACCATCTGTTAAGACTTCGACTTCAATCGGATGCCCTATTATTGCCCTTCCATCTAACTTGCTTAAGAGGGAGACAATAGGGGCAGTCCCCTTCCGATAGCTCCCTTGCACTTCTAGATCAACATGGATCAATGGGGAACACATTTTTCCACCAAACTGCTGAGAGAAGGCACCAATCTCCAGACCAAAACCCTCAAATTTTCCTCCCCAGTTCCTTTTCGTGCAAATCTGGCCTTCCCAAGGATCATCATCCCAGTCAAGCATGTCGTTGCTGAAAATGTTCCAGCATCTAGATTCAGTCCTCTTTGAAGGCAGATAACCCTTGTCAGATAGACCAAACATTTTGACCCCAAACTCCCTCTCGTTGGGATTGGTGTCATCAGTTCCATCACTTGTATCATTTGCCCTATTAAAATCAAAACCATACCCAAGTGACTTTTGGCATAGAGCCCTTTTCTTAAGTTCACGATATCTTCCATGTTCAAAATGATCGGTCTTGCCCGTAGGCCTTCTTGGAAGATTACAGACATTTCTTTTTCCCTTGAGCTGCCATTTGGAAACAGATTCGTTGCCAAAATCAGGTTTGTGAGAATAAAGGTAAGAAGAGTCACCAGAAAAGGATGACTCATCATGATCCTCACTGCTTGTGCTTTCAACTTCAGTTGACATATGTCTACTAAAAGCATTTTGGCTGCGTCCTGAATGACACCCAGCACCTGGAAGAGAAAATTAGAGATCTAGTTAGCGAAAAACTTGGCAAATACAAGACCTGAAAGGCAGAATGGTCTGAAAACTACAAGCAGAAAATAACTGAAAATTGGAAGAGACAAATAATAAAAAAGGATTAAAAAAAAGCAGCAGGGAAACTATGCCAGATGCTTTTCTCTAAGGCTCATGCAGTGACTCTAAGTATAATCGGCCAAAAATAAGTTTCATCAAAACTTAAAAAAAAACATTTGGTGACAATAAGAAACTAGTCCTCAGCTGCTAAAAGAACTAAGGGATTACAAAAGCCTCACCTGAGAACATAGCTATATCGTCATCTGTATCCTCCTCTGTATCAGAAGAATCAGTATCAGATTCAGAAGAATCAGATCTGACGTCTTCTAAAAATTCGGGGGGATCCTCTTCTGAAAGAGAATGATGAGAATCATCACCAGTAAATGAGGAACGCACCATCTCATTCTGGCTTAGCAAACTCTCATGCAAGTCTAAAGCATCATTAGACTTAGCTGGCACAAACATATATCTACGGCTTTTGCTCTGAAATGTACTCCTGATGTGCTCCTTCCCTGAACAGAAGCAGAAACATCACCATAACTTTATGTTGAAAAGAGTTGAGATGAGCAATAATCCAAAATGCTTGAAGATGACTCAAATCATCTCCATCCTGCAATTGTATACTCAAACTTACCAAGACCTTCTACAAAGCATCTTACCAAGGGCATAATTGGACCTCTCAATGCTTTGGTCTCCACGAGAAGAAGCTGGAGAGTTACTGCTGGCCAAATGCTTTGAAGAAGTATCAGGGCCATTAGAATATGGTAGTTTTCGCTTTGACAAGGCAGTTCTAAGCCCAAAGCCCTGCAAGCCTCTCAGCCGAGGTGCAGCTTCAATATGATCATCCTCACAACCTGGCGGATCTTCCTCTTTTGCCTTTTGAAAATAAAGACCATCACCAACATGGTTCGGTCTTAAACATCCAGTTGATTCTTGTTTTCCGTTACACATTCCTTGATTCCCAAAGATCATTAACCTCTCTTTGGTTGCATCAGGAGACTTATTTATAATCTTTTCAGGAACTAATTTTCCTTCCTTTTTCATAATTTCCTTCTCCAGTTCAAGGGCATGGAGAATAGCATCTTCTCGTCGTGCATATTTCTCTCTTTTTCTCATCGGTATGCCTTGTGCAGATTCCACCCTTTCAATGCACTCATCAAAATCACCACACCGAAATGCTTTGACACGCTTGGACTTCTCTAAATTGTACCAGTCCCTACAAAATATCTTGAAAAAATATTATAACTTATCAACAAGGAACATGTGCACGATTACAACTGAAAACACAAATGCATCTTTCCCAGCAAGAAACACAGGCTCAAATTTAAAAAAGATAACAAAGCAAGTATCTATCCACCCAACTGGTGCAAACATATATTCTCATCCAAAACAACCATCACATTTCTGACCAGAATTCTGCAACCGAGACATTTGAAGATGATATAGCTCAAACAGTGCAATTATTATTCTTCCCACTAAGCCATCCCTTCATTTTACACAGGCTAGGCAACTTTAAGCAACTGCAACAATGTGTTGCGATACAGGGAAAATATCATAACAAGCAGACATTCTAACAGAAAAGTAACATCCAAAATCTGCTAGTTCCTCAAAGGTAGACAATCTGAGTATTGCATTTAACATATTACTTAGTAGTTACAACAAAATATTGAAGCTCATCTGCCACATAGATAACACTTGCACTTGTTTGACAAAATGAGTAAGAGAGAAGCCAGTTAGAAGGGAGATCCTCAAAGCAGGTAGCTGATGCTGCCAGAAAATCCATCCAATCAAACCTGTCTTAGTGGATTTCTCTATCATCCAGCCGTCTAGCAATCTATGAAACTTAAACTACAGTAAATATATAGAAAATAGAACTTGAAGAATGATGAGACAAGACTTTGAATCTCTATGCAAAATAAGCATTAGGAAGGTAAGGATCATCACAAAAACTAAATCGACTGCTCTATCATTCGTACAAAATTCAGATATGGGTAAGATTTACATCTTCCTCCATCCCAGTCAAGGCATGGAAAAAGAGTAAAACATCATAAGACATAAGACACCGCTATGTTCTTCAGAAAATTCACAGCATATCAGCATATGTCATCTACCACCCAAATCGTTAGAACATTTAAAACCATTCAAAAGTAATTTGCATAAGCATCGGCAATGGTCCATGTGAAAGTATCTTTAAAGAAACCAAAAGTCCACATTTTGAAAACAACCTACGCAATGACACTGCAATCCAAAGCTCAAGCCAAACCGAATGGTCAGATGAACAAACAGGAAAGAAGCAGAAAGGGAGACTTACACACTTGCATCCTCCCTCCCAAGAAGCTTCACCGGCGTCCCGGATCGCGGCGACATCAGATGGGTAGCGTCAAGCTCTTCTGGGCCCACTATCTTTCCCGGCCACCATGAGCCGTTCCTCCTCCGCACCCATACGATCGAACCCACCGTACAATCTGCCGGACCTGACCCTGGACCACCCATCTCTCTGTCGACCTACAAATGTTCAAGATCACTGTCTCACGATTTCTGTTGTGCTTTGATGATCAACACGCCACAACAACCTAACATTCTCCACGAAAGCAATCTCTTCTTCGTCCGTATATTGATCGCCAGATAAATAGGTCAGCCACCGGAGAAGAAAGGCACGTCCCGGCGGATCCAAGATCAACTGAAGCCGAGGGTAAAAAGTCAATTCCACAAGGGTTAAGGTTCCCATTCAGATTCGAGAAACTAACATATTCTAGGGTTTGCACGGAACGGAAGGTCTGGTTCGTCTTCTTAGGCGAGCTTCTCTCCCTAAAATCTTCGCCTACCTCTCTCCCTGTTTCTTCATCAGACTCATCTGTCTCTCTCTCTCTCCTACGGATGGTGATGGCGAGTAGCGCGGCACATTGAATTTTCACGGGCGACGGCTCACGCGCCCCAAGAAACGCGTGTTACACGTACAGTTACACGTGGCAGACTTTAAGATAAACAAAGGCCCATGGGCTCAATAAACTACAAAGCCCACGTACAGTATTTTACCTCTCCAGCATATATAAATTCCAAAAATGGAGAGGAAAATAAAAGAAGAAAAAAATTTCCGACTCTGCCGATTCAATTCTCACACCTCCGCTCCAATGGTCATTTCCTCTAGGTTTTTTTTTTTTTGTAAAAATTTCCTCTAGGGTTCCTTCTTCTTCTTCTTCCTCTTCTTTTTGGTTGAATTAGGGTTCCTTTTTTGTTCATACGTATATATACCCAAGTCCTCAGAGCGTCAAACGGTAGCAGAAACATCTTGTTTTCTCTCCATCCAAACAAAATTCAGCAGAAAATTTATATTTTTCTGAGATGGATTTCCACAGCTTTCCGAGAAGAGATCTCCAATCTCTCCGCAAGAAGAATGTGTTGCCAAAAGTGAGTTAGCTGTTATTGGTTTGCAGAGTCTGTTGGTAACTTCTATACTGAAGAGGCAAAAAAGAGCTACTGAAGAAACCGAGTTGGGCAGAGAACGGAGTTGAACCCGAGGGAAGGTGACAAGGACGAGGTAATGACTGAAGTGGAAGAAGCAGAGGTTGATGACGCGATGACTATGGATATGGGAGCCATAGATGAAACGGCTGCACCATTTGAGACAAATCAGGTAGGCGCCAAGTGAAAGTTGAAGTTTCTGATGAGTGTGTGTGTGTATACATCAGCTGATCATTTTGGGCTGGTACTTATTGGAGCAAGGGGGATCCGTTTGCTAGTTGTGGAATGTAATTTGCTTCTGAGACTAATGAACCATATAATCAGTATAATATATATATATATATATATGTTTATATGTGTTAATTCATGAATATTTTGTCGAATACTTATAATTCGGATATCTGATCCGAAACTTTTTCGTACAGATCTTGAATAAATAAATTTTTCGGTACCAACCCGTGATTAATTAGCTAATTCAACAAGTGGGTTCCTCAAAAGAAGTGATAGTGAGTCAGCGTTTATACCACTCTGTGTATATCTGTATACCTCCAAGCTGTGTATATATCTACGGCTTAACCGTAACGTATCATAGATAGGATCTGTCAACGCTTCAAAAGAGTATGCAGATGATCCCCAAATGGACAATTTCCAGACAGCGTTCATTCATACACAGAATTCCCAGGAGGTCATAACACATTTTCACCCATCATTTTTCTTTTTTCTCTTTTTTTTTCGGCCGACATAATATACAAGAATTCCCATGTCTCCTTTGTAGAAGCTCTACTGAAACTCTCTACTAGATTAGCTTTCAGAAACAGCATAAGAGGTACCACCACCAGCACCAACCCATGACAAAAATTCAGACATCTCCATTTGTTTACCATACTGAAGCAGCAAAAAGATGTCTCTTTCTCTTCATTGTCATAATACCTGCAAAAGGTGTTGGAGAAATGGGAGATGAAGCCATGAGATGGCATTTCTGCCTTTTGGAATACATATATATAGACGTATATAGCTCGGGTTCTCACCTGGAAAAATCAAAAAGAGGGCCCAACCGATGAGAATCCAGCGGCTTTAACCTCCTTGAGGGTCGAGGCCAGCCAGTCCAAACCCTCGTAAAGGCCGTCCCCACGAAGAGCACATGTTCCTTGTATCTGCCATTTCCTGTTCTTGAGATCAAACAAGCCTAGCCCTTCACATACTTCCCTTGGTGTCATTGCACCTTTCTGAACACAAGATGGGTTTTAAAAGAAAGTGAACAAATTATCAACATGAACTGACTCAGGCAAAGAACAAAACCAAAGCTGGAAGCAGGAAGGTACCATGTCCTGCTTGTTCGCGAATACCAGAATGACACTGTTGAGCATGAACGGGTCTTTTATGATCGTCTGAGGAAATCAACTATCAGGTAAGAAACCGTAAAAGAGAATCTACCCAAAAGGCTACACCAAGTTTAAGGTAAAACCTGGAATTCTTGCTTCGCTTTCCCAATCCTCTCTCGGTCCAGGGAGTCAACTACATATATCTGCACATCATTTACCACAACCAGCATATTGGACTAAGTCTTCAAAGTTGATCACTGATGAAAAACCAGACACTATTTTAAACTGATACATTAAACCAGCTGTTTAAAAATGCCCTTTCACAATAATAACTAACGTTGCACAACCCACAAGAAGCAGTAGCAAAAGAAATATATACATACAAGTCCATCGGTATTATTGAAGTAATGCCTCCAAAGGGGCCTCAGTTTCTCTTGGCCACCAACATCCCAAACTGTGAACATCACATTCTTGTATTGAACTTTCTCAACGTTAAAACCTGTGTAACGCGGTTCAAATCCTCGGCAAAAATTAGCATTCCCTCAGAATAAACAGAAGCAGGATGAAGCAATGACAATGCAAAAGTATAAGGCAACAAGAAGGAAGGGACATCACATTGGCTATTATGCACTATGTAACAGAATTGTGCGACTGCATTCACATCTTTTACTGAACTATGCAGATGCAGTTTGATATCGTTACGGGGAGTTTGTAATCCAAGCTGCCAGATTAACATAATTTAAAATATGTACCACCAATTTTTTTTGTACGTCTTGATAGAATGGACCTAACATAACAGCTTCTATAGCGAAGTTCTATTCAACGCTTCTTCCAAAGTCAAGAATAAAACATTAAGTAGCTTCTGAGCAATAGTTTTCACAGCTAAGACAATAACACACTGTCCAAAAGATTCTCTCAGAGTTCAATGAATGCGGGCAATCTGGCCTACCGATCGTGGGAACTGTTGACAAAACTTCTCCAATGTGCAGCTTGTACAGTATCGTTGTTTTGCCAGCTGCATCCAGCCCCAGCATAACAACCTGATATAATCACCAAACTAAAATAAGTTCTCTCTCTCTCTAATCATCATGCCACAAGGCGCAAGGCGAAAAAGAATCCACATAGGATGCTCAAACAACAAGAAGGACACAAAAAAAGCCATAGCATCATTGCAAATAAATAAGGGCACGAACAAGAATGTTTCACATTGTTTATTCAATCAAAATGTGGGACAGGGAAGCAAGAGCAGAATCCAGAGAGAGGGAGAGAAGAGGAATGAACCCAACAAGATGCAACAGTACACCAGACAATACAACCGTCAAAGAGGCAGTGATTCATCATCCAATGCAATTATCATCCAATTGACAAGCTGGTCTATAAGATTCTGAGCGAGAATCTTGGGCATATAAAAAAGGAAGCTGGATTTACAAAATGCTATCTTATGCCCTGTAGCCTATGATGCATTTTCAACAAGTATCCAACTATGCCTACGAGCAGATGACAGGTCCAAGAACAGAAAAGCATAAGGCAAATCATTGCCTTGAAACAATTGGAAAAGAAAATTTTCTGATTTGATAAATTAGATAATAACCACGTCTACCCTTTTTTGGCATCTGTAAAGGATTCCTATAAATTAGCACCAGAGATAAGAAAACATGCAATTCAGAAATCCAAGTCAAAACATTTCATCCGAAAAACCAAAACCTCGCGAGATCTAGCAAACAGGTTGGTACAATACAACTGCAAATATGAAACGACAATCAGGAAACAGATGAAAGAGAGGCAAAATCAGCGACATCTACTTCTCAAGCTGATATCGGTGTTCTACTTCTTCTCCATCACCTTATGCGAGTTCATACAGATAGATAGATTCCAGAATCTATCTCCTGCCACATTTGATCTAAACTTTATTCCACAAGTTTAATCACAGATGGAGAATCAAAACTTCCACCGGCGATACAAGTCATATTAGACACCGTTTCTTAAGTTTTCCGCGACGGTCATACCGATTTTACCAGTGATCATCAATTCTCAAACATCGAAATCAGACACCTTCCCAACAAATTCACAAAGGGTGACATGCGATCCCACCAAGAATCTCACGCGGAAATCAATCAGAGGTCAAACTCAGGACAAGATCGAAGCGTTCCATACACAGAGACGCAGATACACAATAATTTACACACACAAAAAAAACCAACAAAAGGAAAGTACCCTCATCTCAGAATTGCCGAAGAAGGTGTCGAAAAGCTTCCGAAAAGCTTGACCCATGGCGCTCCAGAAAACCTTCCAACGATTCCTTTTTCCCTCTTATCGACACAACCAAAACAAAAGGAAAAAAAACAAAGATGAGGGAAATTGCAGAAAGAAGGGGAGGACAACGAATGGTTCAGATCGAGAAGAAAGGTAGCGTTTTGTAATCCTCTCCGAATTTCGTCTTCGGTCGAAAAGCATGAAGGGAAAACGTTCAATCAATGGAGCATCTTCATTCCAACATAATATAATAGTTTTTATTTTTTGTATAGACTCGGAATCTTCGTGGCCCTAACTCTTGTTTGGTAACGTGTATAGAGATAACCTCCATGATGATTGGCATGACCCCATCTTTGATAGTCAACGATACATCATATTGTGGTCATAGGCCCGCTTCCTTTTCCCATACGAATAATGGGCTCTATTTGTGTATATGATGGGCTTATTTATTTGCTGTAAAATATAATGGGCTTTTAATGTGATGTATATATATATATATGAAATGTGTATATGTGTAAGAAAAATTTATTTTATTTTTCTACCTGACTTAAGCTACGGACGGTATCTGGTCGGAGATCTAAACCGGTGAACTAAAAAAATAAATAGCTTAGACCGGAGGAAGAATCCGGTGCAACAAGGTGTACGAATTGAACGGTGCGAATAGTCTGGGCATGTAGTTGTTTAATTTCGGAATCGGAGTCTCCATCCAAGGTGAAGAACTCTGGCAGAGACGAGACCATGGCATCGACGGTGGTGAAGAGTGCGTGTCAGGCGATTAAAGAGAGAGGTCTCGGCGGTTTCATCCGGCTTCTCCGGGAAGAGGGCTACACGTCGGTCCTTCTTCTCTCTCTCGTTTTGTTTTGATTGATTTTCCCTTAGGATTCGTCTGGATTTGATCTGTTTGTTTCCGGTAAAACCCTAGGAAATGCCAGATGTGGTTGGTGTTTACGGGTTCTCCTTCTTTGTGACTGGAGAGTCTAGATCAACGCGCGCTTTTTTCTGTGCTTGTTTGTGTATAAACATTTGTGTCCTTGTGTATCTTTAAGGAACGAGTATTATTCTAGGATTCGTCATGAAGATGTGAAGATTTTTCTCAATGGCTTGAGTGAATAATACGTCTGAATGGGATGGGTCTATGGAAATTGTGCCTTGTTGTCGTTGAACAGCCATTTTAGTTGCTGAGGTTGAGGATGTTTGTCGAAGTATTAAAGCTCTCTGCTAATTCTTCCTCTTCCATTGTCTTGATTGAATAGAGGGAAACCTCCGCATTGAATCCATATTTCAACTGCATTTGGTTTAATTCCTTATTACTTCCGTTCCGTGGCTTCTCCTTAGTTAACTGTTCATGAATCATGACCTAGATGACCGTTCTCGTGGTTATATGCGCATGTTTCGTCATTTTTATGTCTGGAATCACATTTTCCTAGTTCTTGATGTCTGATAATCGCTTGTTCTGTTCCTTTTTCCCCGTTACAGGAAGTGCCTGACAGATGGAAACCTCTTGTAAGTTCAATCCATACTCTTATATTTGTGCCCTTGGAGATTCATCCCTTTTAACATATGTGCATGTGTTTTCGGTACTGACTCTTAATTTCTTACTGACATCCTGTCCGAAAGATGGACAGAAATGTCAAGTTGGACTTTTGGTATCAGATAATATTGAATGTTGATGTTTAAACTCAATATTAGCTTAATATCTTGCAATTGAAAGTTGGAAATTTTCTATTCTCTTATTTTTAGAGGCTTATCTGTGGTCTGCTGGCTTGGAGAGATTTGTTATGATTCTTGCTACATGTCTGCCATTGAAGAATTGTCGACACCTCCTTCTTGGCTGAATCTGTGTCCTTTTATATGTATGTGATGGTATTTTCTTAGCAGCCACTTTCTCTGTGGATGTCTGACTTGCCTTGCTTGATTCCAAGCTTTAAAAAAAAAAAAAAAATTTAAGACACTACGTGATATGCAGCATAACTAAACTTCCTGACGCAAGATCACGGATGTCCATATTTCATTCAATTACTACTTTTTATTTTCAATTTTAGGGGGTCAAGTACATATATATCTCGTATTTTAAGGGTATTTTTGATAATGCCCCTGTTGAGTTGTTATATCTTATGATCACTAACATTTTGTTTTATTCTTTTTTTTTTACTAATTTAAGGCAAACAAAAATACACAACTTAGGAGCAACACTTGTTGGTGTCGATAAATCCGGTAACAAATATTATCAGAAGCTGGGCGATACTCAATATGGTTTGTACATCTTTTTATTCAGCCTTGTGACGTCCTTTCAGAATTTTCTTTTGTGTAATGTCGATACTGCTTGCCGGATATTCAGAATACTTGTTACCCAACAATTCTCTTAGTGGAGATTTTGATAATGCAGTTCTGTAAACTGTTGAAAGGATGCGAAAATTATCATTGAGCAGGATTAAGGCTATGAAATTACTGTTCCATGTCTTTAGAATGTGTAGTCAATAGGTTTCACTCTTTTCCCGAATGCCCGGGTACTAAATGGCATTAATATGTATGTAATCAAAACCTAAAACTCGTTGTTTGCAGGAAGGCACAGATGGGTAGAATATGCACAGAAGGGTCGTTATAATGCATCTCAAGTACCACCTGAGTGGCACGGATGGCTCCACTTCATGACTGATCACACAGGAGATGAGGTTTTATAGCCTCTCGGACTCAAATCTCTACAATGTGTCATAAGTTCCATGATTCATCATAATGAAATAGTTGCTGCTTTCACACTGAACGAGAGATATCTATGTTGTAGCTATTGATGCTGAAACCCAGGATGTATGGGGTTGAGCACAAGGAGAATTTCTCTGGAGAGGGAGATGCATACATTTACCATTCGAAGGGACATGCTCTCAACCCTGGACAGAGGAACTGGACCAGGTACCAACCTTGGGAACCGACCAGAACCAGCTAAAAGCCTCTGATAAGGTAAACAGATGAAACTGCAATGCAGAACTCAAAAGATTTGTTTTGTTTCTATTATTTCCTTTGAATAAAAAAAAGGGTTTGGATCAAACTCCTCCACCCCACATAACTTCTTCTGGTTGAATTTGTATGATCAATTTCTATGATCATCTTCTTGTTTGTGTGTTCACACCTTTGGAAAGAATGTTGTTTCACAGTTTTTTTTTAATGTTTCACAATGAGATATAACATAATTTTGAAATATATATAACATATTAAAAAATGGGTTCGAGGCTTGCACAATATAATATACTGTTTAAGCCAAGGCTTTCCTACAATATACATCCTTGATCTGTTGCCCCTACAATGTATTCTTGTGGTGTGATCTCTCCCGTATTGCATTTTTTTTACAACATATTAAAAAATTATAACTAAATTTTAAAGAAATACAATGTTTGTTGGCTGGGACATTACTAAATTATAAAACAAGAAATTCTGAACCCATTTTTTAATTGCTCCTTCTGTATGAATTTTTATGATCATATGATGTCAATCCAGCTGCTAGTTTGTAACCTTTGGAAAGAATGTGATATACCATAATTTTTTAAAATAAAACGCAGCACAATTTTTAAAGAAATTCAATGGTAGTGGTTGGGGCATTATTGAATTACAAAACAAAGAAATTCTGAAATCACTTTTTCTTTTTTTAATATTTGATCCAAAATTCAAGTGGGCATCAATCAAATCTTGTCTGTCGGTGTCGTGTAATTAGGGTGACCCTAGAAACCGAACTAGTTGTCCAAATCTTGGTCGCATGTTCGTGTTGTCTTCATGACCTAAACTACATCTCTGACGCTCATTTTTCCATGGCTCTCGATCTATCAACGATTCAAGTACAATAAATAAACGCACGCATTGGTCTCACTCGTCAGCTGAAACATGTGAGTGTTTAGAATAAATAATACAGAAAAATTCATGTATAATTCTATTTTAATATCAGTTTTTTTTTTCAAATTATCAAACCGCTTATCAGATAAAAAATTAATTTTTAAAAGAAACAGATGGTAAAAATGGCTAAAATTCACCTATTTAGTGCTTTAATAAGTCGAAATATGAAAGTGTTAAGAATAAATAATGCATAAAGAAAGTTATCTTAATATTAGTTTTTTGTCCAGATTATTAATCCCTTATCAGATAAAATAAATAAATAAATAAATAAATAAATAAATAAAATTTTATCAATAAATAAATTGAGTTAAACCGATCGTTAATCCCATTGGCCAATATTTTAAGTTGTTGCCCCTTTCCTGGAAAGAACATCACCCCTCTCACTCTAAATTCCGATCACCGACACGAAGTCGAAAGCTACCTAGTTCATGTCCGAACCCATTAACCATTTGGGTCTACCAGGACACGGGCAAAAGTCGAACATCGAAATCCCGGGATTTATCTTCTCCCCAATTCCCCATCTTCGTCTTGGTTTGGAGATAGACAGCTATGGCGTCTGATCCCGAGCAGCCATCTCTCCCTTCTCTTGTACAGGTTTTGCTCCTGCTGCTTGTTCTTTGTCTTTGTACTTATCGTTCGCCCTTGTTCTGTTTGGTTTTCCAATAAGATCTCGAGATCATGGATGTTATACTTTTGATAAGAGGTCGTGAGAGGGTTTTGAATGCGTGAATGGTTTAGATGTTGTTCTTTCGTGAATCTATTGCAGGGTCAATAGAACAAATTCAGCTTTCCTTTATGAGAAAATTTTGGGAGATTTTGATTGCTCTGTAGCTCTTGTGTTTTGGAATTTTGGTATTTTAGAATTTGAATTCAATCTGCCATTATTCCTAAATGGTTAAACTTCTGTGTTGCCCTCTGACCTGAAGATTCTGTCCCTCGTGCAATCTTTGCTTCTGCATTAGGGTCATTACATGAACCATGATTCCGAGGGTTTAAGGCGTTAAGCTCCTGACCTGTTCTGTTTGAAATTTCCCGCTGAATCCACGTTTTGAGTTCACGTTAACCATATCTTAGAAGAACTTTTGAGGGATTCGGAACATTTGAAGGTTTACCTTGCCATTCTCTGCAATCGGTGTCCAGTCCGAAGATTCCTCTATAGAATTTTAAGGGGTTTGTTTGCATGTTTGAGTTTCTGAAACCATTTTCTCTATGTAGGTTGGTAAATCTTCTGGGGAGATAAGCAGCGAAAGAGAGCCCCTTATTAAAGAGAGTTACAGCTCAGAAAACTACTCTGTAGTTGCAGCCGTGCTCCCGTGAGTTATCAAAATCTTCTCCTTGTTTAGAAGTAATTGGATAGTTCCACCATAATGTCTTGCCAAGTTTTGGGCTTTCTTCTTATCATCATCATCATCATCATCATCATGCCTCTGGCCAAATTGTCATGACAAACTATGTCAAGGATAAGGCAAAGAAATGCATTTGCATTTAATTTTGCAACAATGTTGGTTCTCTGCCTTCTAGGTTCATTTGTTTAAGCATTTCGTAATTTTCGTGTAGATAATTCTTTCGTATTTTGAGAAGATTTTGTTGGGATTTCAGGTTTCTCTTCCCAGCTCTTGGAGGGCTGCTTTATGGTTATGACATTGGTGCAACATCTTGTGCAACCATTTCTATTAAGGTTAACTTTTACGCATTCCGAACGAAGCATGCGATTCTTCATAGAGATTCTACTGCTGATACGCCATTTGAGTTTGCTTGTAATTTTCTAAATTTTCCGAATTTTAAGCCGCTGTTTCCCAAGCCTACAATCTAATCACAATATTTCACACCTGTGACATGCAATTACTTAAGTGGAATCTAAACATACGGTTGATTATCTAAATCTTTTTGCAATTACTTGCTATCTTACTATGTCTTGTTCTCTTCTGCAGTCGCCTACATTAAGTGGAATTTCATGGTACAACCTATCCTCGGTTGATATTGGTCTAATTGTGAGTCATCAGTTCATCATTTATAGCATTTGTTTTTTCTTCTCTAGTCCCTGCCGGAGCTGAGCTACATTGAAATAACGGCCTTCCTTGTTGAAGAAAAGGCTTAATCTATGTGCAAATTTTGTCTTATATTTTCTGCAGACCAGTGGCTCACTTTATGGTGCCTTAATTGGCTCCATTGTGGCTTTTACTGTTGCCGACTTTCTAGGTTGGTATCTTCTTTACTTTCTTCTATTGGTATACTGAACCTATTCAATACTGTCTGCATATAAAAGAGATTGAGATAGTGGATGTATCAAAATTTTCAAGGAAGGAGAAAGGAGCTGATTTTGGCTGCGTGTGTGTTTCTTGTTGGAGCCCTTGTGACTGCACTTGCACCTGTCTTTTTCATTCTGGTTATTGGGAGGATTATATACGGTATTGGGATTGGACTGGTAAGATTGATCATACGCCTTGTAGTATTTAGCTGCTTAACATCCTAAATGCCCTTGTAATCTTCTGATGCACTAGTTGTCTGCGGTTATGCATATTACTTTTTACTAACCGAAACAAAGACTGTAGGATTTTACACAATTTCAACTATGGATTACATTCATATAATTGTATTTGGTTTTGAATGTTCAAATCCCGTTCTTTTACTTCTAGGCTATGCATGCTGCTCCAATATACATTGCAGAGACTGCTCCGAGTAAGATACGTGGGCAGCTGATATCACTAAAGGAATTCTTTATTGTCTTTGGGATGGTTGTAAGTTCAAATTTTGTTTTCTGGTTGCACGGTGCTTAATTCAAAGATTCTTTTTTTAATTTTGCTCAACAAGTTTTCATAGATCTTGACTCGTAGAAAATTTTGCAGGGAGGGTATGGAATTGGTAGTATTTTGGTCAATATTGGTTCTGGTTGGCGCTACATGTATGCAGCGATTGTCCCTGTATCGGTGATAATGGGAGTTGGAATGTGGTGGCTACCAGCATCACCTAGGTGGCTTTTATTGTGTGCCATTCAGGGAAGGGGGGAAATGGAGGACCTAAGAGAGGCAGCCATCTCTTCTCTTTCCCGCCTTAGGGGTCCAGCTATAGGTGACTCAGCACCTGAGCAAGTAAACGAGATCTTGTCTGAGCTTTCCTTTGTGGGTGAGGACAAAGAAGCTTCATTAGGTGAATTGTTTCAAGGGAAGTGCTTGAAAGCGCTCTTTATAGGAGGAGGTTTAGTTTTGTTTCAACAGGTTTGTGTACTCGTTTTCAATGATGGTTTCTTATTATTGAGAAGAACACTTCTCAGTATTTTTCACTTTGCCAAATGACAGATAACCGGGCAACCAAGTGTGCTTTATTATGCACCATCAATCCTACAGGTTTTCTTCTTCTTTAGATAAAATCTTCTGTGGGGTTGATGTTGAATTTTGTGGCCTCTAGAAACTCATGGGAATTCTAACTTGTCTTCCTTGAATGACATTTCCTATTAGACTGCTGGATTTTCTGCTGCAGCTGATGCAACAAGCGCCTCAGTTCTACTTGGTATATTGAAGGTATTCATACTCTGTCATTGGGCATGTCAATGAAACATGCTATAGTCATTCTAACATGTAGTTCTGGGATGCTTATCGAATTCCCACCCGAACGTTCGCCTGTTTCAATTAGTGTTTTCTTCTCAGAACCTATTTCTCTTGCTGAGACATAACTTGCTCCTTTACTTCTGCAGTTGATCATGACTGGAGTTGCTGTTGTAGTTATTGACAAACTTGGAAGGAGGCCTTTACTTCTGGGCGGTGTTAGTGGCATGGTCTGTCCTTCCTGTCTTCTTTTTGTCCTTTTCTATTGCATGAGAGACATAGAACCTAAAGCTCTAGAAACTTTATATTTTTGTCATTCAAAATGTTCAACTCCAACAGGGTGTCTCATTATTCCTCCTGGGGTCATATTACATCTTCTTCGGTGATGCATCCTCTGTTGCTGTCGTTGCATTGCTGCTATATGTGGGATGTTACCAGGTAAACAAAACATTCTATTGGCTTCTGCTTGACTTTCTGTGTCTTAACTTGTGGGAACATTGGCATGACTTTATCATATGGTACTTGAGGCATCTAATGCGAAGCTTTTGGAACTAGTAGTTTCGTTGTGTTGTGTGTTTGGGTTCGTAATTTTCATTTCTTTAGCCTTGAAAATTGTAGATGTTGTCCCAGTTTCCTTTCATATTTACCTTCTTATGTAACTTTCAAACTTTTTATTAGCCTCTCTGTCGAAAAGATAGTTAGTTGATTCTGTGGGAATGTTTGGTTTCTTGAACTAGTTTTAAAGCTTTCTAATCAAATCTTGCAGTTATCATTTGGTCCTATCGGTTGGCTGATGATTTCGGAGATCTTTCCGTTAAAATTAAGAGGTCGAGGGCTCAGCATAGCGGTGCTTGTGAATTTTGGTGCCAACGCTCTTGTTACATTTGCTTTCTCACCTCTGAAGGTAGTAAAATCTTCCTTCAGGATATCTCTTAGTTTACGCTTGTGATGGCCGGTAGATACTATACAGTGCAGTCGGTATCAAAAGTCTTGTCACATGCCACTCCACCATTGCAGCGGAATCAAGAAACGTTCGATCATTGCTTATAAACCATGCAAACGACAATATGGATTTTCAGGGTCAATTCCTTGATTGAATGGCCTTCACCTGCTTGTGTTTGCAGGAGATGTTGGGGGCCGGGATATTGTTTTACGGGTTCGGTGTGATTTGCCTGTTGTCTCTACTTTTCATATTCTTCATTGTACCAGAGACAAAGGGTCTCACTCTAGAGGAAATTGAAGCCAAATGTCTCTAAAGGTTTGTCCTTTTTTGTTTCCTCCATTGAAGCTCTCATGTTAAAGTCCAACCTTTGCTTTCTCTCCATGTTTGATTTCAACTGAAGCTCTGGACCTTGAATGTTTTTACTTTTCAGATTCAAGAACAGTTCAGACGGATACTTCTGTGTCCAAATCACAACACGCACTGCCGCTGCAGACACGAGGGCAAAAAAGTTAGAAATGTGACAGGACGTGTTCAGGTGAAAACCCATCATCTGTGTAACAGGACATGTTCAGGTGAAAAAAATTATGTAAAGAGCTACCATACGATATTGTCTTCAGTTGTATTTTTATCACAAAATTCGAAAGAGCAGAAAAATAAAAAAGACAGATTGATGATTTATGCAAATGAATTTAGAAAAAATCTCATATAAATATCGAAAAAATAAATAATTTTTTTACTCAGTTAAATTCATGAATTTTATGAAGATTTCTAAAGGATATACAAACTTTACAAATATGTTCAAATGCCATTTTTTAAAATTTTGAAGTTTGTGTATTAATCGTATAAATGGTTTGGTAATATGGTATTTTCTATAAAATTGCTATTTAATTTTATAATTTTGTAAAATCCAATGTTTATGGGCCAAAAATTATTCCCCAGATTTGGGCCTGTAACTGAAAGCCCAAGGTCTCGCCGTGGTTTGTTCGTTTCGATGCATTGGTCTCTCCCTTCGTCGATATCCTTCCTCTCTGGGTATCTCCTCCCTCTCTTCTCTCAGCTTTCCCATCTTCGTCGGTGTCGGAGCTTATGGCGTCGTCTCTCCTGAAAAACCTAATCCGTTCGCAAGTTCTTCCTCTGTCCAGAAGGAACCACAGCCTCATCGGCACTCAAATTAGCAATCACACTGCCAAATGGATGCAGGTACTCTCCCCTTTCCTTCATTAGTAGTCGTAATCATCGCGGTCTTTTGCTTCTGAAACTGATCGAGATTTGAATCAGTTTTGCGCTTCTCAATGTTTTTTTTTCGTAAAAAATTGGACGACAGATGTGGAGTTTTAAGAAATTTTGTGATCGGTTTTAGGTTTAGATCGCGATTTGTGGCATGTTGAGCAATCGCTCTATTTTTTTTTTTTTTGGATGAAACAATCGCTCCTACTGATGAGATAGACAAGGTCCGCTTTCCGAATGCTTAGCTCCTTGTAGTGTTTATTGCTGGCTAGAGTAGTTTCCTGGCTTAAACGATTTTGCCTTTAATGGAGCAACTGCTAGATAAAATTTGATTTCCATGTGAAGATATAGTTTTGGACTGTGAACAACCGTATTGGTGATCTAGAATGTGTTCCTTTTGGTGAGAGTTCGAGATAGAACTTTCTTCTTATTGTAGGCTCGTGTTGATTCTCAGAGGTATTTGTTGTGAATTGATCCGCATCCCGCATGTGCAGTAACATGATTGCGTGTATGAAGGATAAGAGACTATTTCTGAGATTTTTTTTTAATAATCTAGTAGATGGTGACTTATTTGAGTTGTCTGGATGCTGTAACAAAGGCATACTATCACGCAATAATCGTAGTTTGATGGGGGTCTGAATACATTCACTTGGTTGATACTACACTCTGTTGCATGAATGAATTGCTCTTGACTAATCATCCCAGAACTATCACTGTCTAGTATCATCTCTGTATACTTTTCCCAATCTGGGGTTATACCGGCATGATTGCTCATTTCCCCGTAGCATAATGGTGCAAGAAAATAATGCTGAAGTACTGTTATCTATACAGGACACAAGTAAGAAATCACCCATGGAACTGATAAATGAAGTTCCACCTATCAAAGTTGGGGGAAGGATCGTTGCTTGTGAAGGAGGTTTGTTCTCTTCTCATTTCTCTCATATGCAGGGTATGCAGAGTACGAGATATGGTGTTTTATTCACATATTAGCGGCTTATGAAAAGAAGGGAAGCCATAAATTAGGGAAGGGTTCTGATATAATGGCATTTCACATGCAGACACCGATCCGGCTCTGGGTCATCCCATTGAGTTCATATGCCTCGACTTGGACGAGCCTGCAGTCTGCAAGTACTGTGGCCTCCGCTATGTGCAAGATCACCATCACTAGTCCAAGCTTTGAAGTTTATAAAGTCTTTTAATTTTCGGGTATTTGTTCACTCTCCTGTTTTTTGCCCATCTCAATTCCGTGGCAATACGAGATCTCACTTGTACGTCGTTGTTTCTCTGTGTGTTTTTTTTTTACAGCACATAATAAGAGAGGGTTCAATCGCAAGTGTGATATGGTGTGCGATTGCACTAGGCTTGGATTCCTTTACAATGTTTTGTTTCTCAGGTTTGCAACTCCTTGTGGAAGAATATATCACAAGAGAACATTGTGTTGATCTTTATGCAGCTGTCTGAATCACTTGTTGTTCAGAAATGTTTAAAGGGATTAGGAATTCCCATTAAATTTAAAAAATCATATAAAAGAATATTTTATTCAGAGAAAGTTGCGGTAATCTTTACGACGACCAAAAAGTCGTCGCATTTTCAAAGGAGTAACTCTCATAGAAGAGATGATGAATCTGGTCGTTTGCCCACAATGGTGTTATAGCCGATGAATTGAAGATTACTCGAAGATCCACATAGAACCGAGGAGGCTCATGAAATTTGTCTGCTGGGAACCAATAAAAAAGAACCCTAAACAATAATAACAAAATCTCTCCTCGCAAGTTGCAACCATACCAAGGAGAAACAATAATATGAAATCAACACTCGTCTGTTCATTTCTTCTCGTTGCCGGAATCAACTCCGGCAAGTTTCCTTCTCTGCTGATGCTCTGCAACTTTGTAATCAACAACTTCTCTGAAAAGGTTCGGATCCAACACACAGCTCTCGCTCCCGTACACCGCCGCCTGAACGCTGGCCATCAATTTCGCGATTTCTCTACCGGAAAATCCCTCTGTTTTTGCTGCCGCTTCCTTCAGAATTTCATCGGTGACGCCCTTTATCTCAATCTTTTGCTGCTCTTTCATGAATAGGCCGGAGAACAAACCCGGTTTTCTCGGACCAGCCTGGGCAATGTACTTGTCAAGATAGAGCTTCAGAAGCTTGAAACGCTCTTCTTCTCCTGGCAATGGAAACTCGAGAACTTCATCAACACGGTCAGCCACGGCTGAGTCAAGGTCACCAGGACGGTTAGTGGCTAGTGCTAGGACTATGTCCTTGGACTGGTCACCGGTCCGGAAGAGTAGGGCATTCAGTGCACTCCTTTGAGCTTCACTCATGTATGTTTTGTTCCGCCTGTCAGAATTTCAGAGCATCAAATGCAATAAATACGCGCGAGTTCAAGCGATATTGTGATGCATCTAACAGATGGATCCTCATCAAAACATGATCCTACCATCAACAGGCTCGCCATTGAAAAACTAGAAAGATGATTTGGGTTTTGTTCACTCACTCGCACAAAAATGCATCAGCTTCATCAATGAAGAGCAACAAGCCTCTCTTAGACTTTTTGGCCCAATCGAATAGTTGGTGTATCTTTGTAACAGCCTGAGGTCCAAGCGGAGCAACATCTCCACCAGTCATCAATGCATAGTCCAAACCCTGCAAAGTATACAAACGTTATAATGTATACAAACATTTTTTGCTATAAAATACTCACTCTAGACTAGCCGTTCTAGTGTTTGTATTAACTTATCCGATAAGTTAAAGGCAACAATGTATGTAGAGGAGATACATACGGATTTACGAGCCAGCTCCCGCGCAGCCATTGTTTTCCCAGTTCCTGGAGGGCCATAGAAAAGCATGTTTCGGAAAGGTGCCTGGTGGGATTTCGTGTTGGCAGTTGCATTAGCTAGTTGCTCGATTCTCTTTTGAAGAGATGGATGCAAAATAACATCGCCAAAACCATTCCCAGTTTTCGACCCTGACTCCTTGCTACCAGCCCGTAAAGTTGACATGGCACGAGAAACCACACCAGACCAAGGGTACTTTCCTCTCGACGATTCTCTTATTAGGGAAGGTTGTCCTAATATTCTGTCTACATAACTCCAGATAACCTTCGCACCTTCCCTGTAACAAGCAATTTAGGAGCTGACTAAGTTAAATTCGAGTTCCCATATCAAAAGCATGTCAGTGTAATGTGATGAAGCCATTCCAAAATGAATAAGGATATGCCTTTCAAAGAAGAAAGCATGAGCAGCAAATAGATTAGGAAGCACAGTTGGTCAAAAGCATAAAACGCTTGAGTCAGCCTTCAATGACAATAAATCATGCCTTCGGAAAAAGTTTTCTCGAGCATCAGATACATATCCATTATTTACCTAGTTGTGTAGATCCCAGCTGCAAGAGCAGTTACACCACCAACAGCGACAACCAGCTTATTCTGATCCGTCAAAATGGCTCGCAAGCCCCCTAGAGAAAAATGGAAAAGGGTCAATCACCTGCTAAACAAAAATCAAATGAAATCACAAGGGAATCTAACTGTAGTTTCCACCTTAGCCCAAAAGACGGGAAAATCCACCTATGTATAAAAAAGGGCAGCCCGGTGCACAAAACATCCCATTGAGCGGGGGTTTGGGGAAGGGTCCCACCACAAGGGTGTATTGTAGGCAAACCTTACCTTGCAGAAACATCTGCAAGAGGTTGCTTCCAGGACTCGAACCCGTGACCTCAAGGTCACAACGGCAAGACCTTAACTGGTGCGCCAAGGCTCCCCTTCAAAAAGAAAGGAAAAGGGGTGCAACATGAGGACTTCCCAGGAGGTCACCCATCCTAGTACTACTCTCGCCCAAACACACTTAACTGCGGAGTTCTGATGGGATCCGGTGCATTAGTGCTGGTATAATCGCACCCAAAATCCACCTATGTATGTATCACTAAATCATATGATCATATCGTTTAATACTAGCTTCTGATGCAGAATATCTACTTCACATCTAGGCCTCCACCCGTAATACATATGTTAAACATCCAAAAAAAAGGTTTCGCAATGTGCACAAATTGAAGCAAAAAACACCCTGTGTACCATTCATTGCATACCTCCAATATGATCGAACGTAGTGTTTATGGCGGCAACCCATTTCTCCCTTTCTGCATTTGCACGGTCTACAAGCATTCTCCTGTTAACATCTTCGGCAAGCCTTGCCTCATGAGCTCTCCCTTCAGCTTCAGCTATAGCCTTGACCCTAATCGTTTCTCGTTCTATTTCAGCCTTTTCCCTCTCCGTTTGTCGCCTCTGTGCCTGGATCTGTTCCTCGGTAGCTCTTCGAGCCTGTTCCTGCCTGATCGATGATTCTTCTTGCATTTTCACAAGCTCTTGATTTCTTGCTCTTTGAAGTTCGTTTTCTGCCTGTAACAAGACGTATTGCTAAGAATAGCGAGAACAGAGAGAAAGCAGTTGCAATGTTAAATAAAATGCTTTATGCAGCTACATGCCTGCATCCTCTTTCTTGCAAGCTCATCTTCATAACGAGCCATCTGCGATTTTGTTTGTGCTTGGTGCTGAGCAAGTTTTTTCTGTTCATCGTATATCACCCTTTGTCTCTCCTGTAAAACAGAAAATATCATGCTCAGAACTTAGGATTTAGGAATGATCATAGGCCCCAACTTTCTTGAAAAGAAGGAATTGTACAAAGCTCTGCCAAAACTGTCGCCAGGGATACACCAAACAATGCAGGCTTATAGCCATCTGATTACGGTAACAAAGTTCATAGACAGTATGTCTGCAACTAAAATGCAAGGAGAAGAAAATTAAAATCCAGATTCTGGAGAAAACCTATAAAAAGAGAAACGTTCAAGGTATCCGGGAAATAGATCTTATAGCTAGTTAATCTCACAGTTTCAGCTTGGGCTTTCATTGCTTTGAATTCTTGCGCCTTTGCAGCAAACTCAGCTTGCCTTGTCTCTTCTTGCTTCTTTGTAACTTCGAATACCTACCATCATCAAAAATCCACCATTCATAAGATAACAAATTAGCAAAGCATTCCATAGTTCATGCCATAGAAAACTTTAGGCTCAAACCTTTTATTCAATAGCTTTTTGTTTTGCAAATTATCACTAAAAAAGTATATCTCAGACTTCAAAGAAAACAATCTACAAAGTATTGAGCCTCTGTGCGTTGGTCAATCATGGAATCCATTTGCTTCTGATAACATCAAAACACCAAATTCAAATTATACATTGACAAATCAGTAAAAGTCATCCACTCCCTGGGAATTAAAAAACGAGACCTTTTTAGCCTGAGAAGAGCTATTGATCTCCTTCAAGGCGTTAGCACCTCGCTCTAGCGCTTCTGGATCGAACCCAGCAGACGTTGTCCTCGGATGATCATTCCGAACCCTCGGGGCTGCCGGGGACTCTCCGCCGGACGAGGACGATGCCTGCTGAGATTGCGGCGGCGGAGAAGGCTGCTGAGTACTCGGCGAAGCGGACGAAGAACCGGAGATGAAATTGAAAGGGCCATCTGCGGCAGCGACTTTGGATTGCGCGAGCGAAGCAGAGGCTGCTATGGCCGAGATTATACCAATTGCACATTTCTGAGCCATTTACTACGATAATTTGCGAAAGGAAGAGGATGAGAATCTAGGGTTCTTTTCGATTCGAGAGGTTTGAAAATGCAGCGGAAGATTTTATGGAGAAGAGACTGCCTTGAAGAACAAGGAATTCGAGACAAAAACATTTCGTGCCATTGGAAAAAAAAAATGTTAGGACGCAGAGAAGTCGCTGCTTGGGTTTTGGTAGGGTTTCTGCGCAAAGCTTAGTCATGTAATTGGCGGAATTAGGTTTTCGGGTCGGGTTGTAACCGATTTTCCTTGATTTTTGACCCGACAACCCGACCCGTTTGACCCGTTGATCCAAGGCAGTCGGTTCACTTGGGTATTTAATTTCTGGTTTTTTTAGTTTGAGGGCACATAATTCGGAAATGAACACCTGTTTTTTTTGTTTGTAAGAAAAATACTTGTATTTGTATTGTAATAGTTATATATATATATAGTTATATATACATGTATATAAATATATATATATATATATATATTTGATTTGCTAACGGAGGAGTGACAATTAATGTATATACTAACATTAGCATTCACTCGAAATGTATGCTCAGTCCACTTTTCGTAGTCACGCTAATCAACATTTGATATATTTAGCTGTTTTTTGTAATGGAAATATTCTAAAATTCCACAAAACGAAATATATCAAAATACGTATATATTCTATATCTTTATAATACACATCCCCTACTAAAAAAAAGAAGAAAAATATTTATATTAATTTAGCTTCCCATATTCATTCTATTATAAGAAAAAAATATATATATAAATATTGATTTGCTAACGTAGGAGTGACAATTAATGTATATGCTAACATTAACGCACACTTGAAATGTATGCTAAGTCCACTTTTCATAATCACGCTACACAACATTTGATTTATTAGCTGTTTTTTTTTTGTAAATGTAAATAATCTAATATTTTGTCCTTGGGACTAAACCATAACCACAAAACGAAATATATCAAACTACATATAAATATATATATTCATATATATATATATATATGTTCTAAATATTGATAATACACAACCCTAATCCAAGGAGGAGGAGAAGAAGAAGAAGGATTCCATTCAACGTATTGGGCCGACTTAGTTTCGAAGACTCTGATTTCCTCGGATCATCAGAAGGCGAAGGAGCCATTATTGGAGGAAAGACAGGAGGAGGAGAGGTATCACTGCTACTGCCACTGCCACTGCCACTGCTCGGACAGGAAGTGAAGGGGACAGTGCGATTGGCCAGTGGAGAGTCATCGTCATGGTTGGTTTCAAGAGTCAAGATGCCGTCAATTCCATGGCACTTAATGGATCCCGAGGTGCATATGTTTCGGCTAACGATCTTGACATTGTTGAGATGGTAGTTATATCTTCCGCCGTTGGAGATCTGGAGAGAGTAATGATCCAACGAAGAAGGAATAGTGGACCCATTAGGGAAAAGGTTGAGATGCTCGAAGAGGAGAGGAGAGGGGATGGAATGGCGAAGCAAGAACTCGGGAACCGAATCTTCTTGGATCTGAGCTCTGGATAGGGTTTTGTCCTTTGGCATCAAGAAAGTGATATTGGCCAAGAACCTGGGGTTGATGACGGATGGCAGCATGTTGATGAGCATCACGAAGGAGTAGTAGTTTGCCCTTTGCATTTCTTCCATGGCCATGGAGAGATCATCGTGCTGAGTGTCTTCAGCATGAATGGATGACGATGCTACGAGGAACATGATGGTGATGATGGCGATGATGATGTGATTAGCCATGATGGGTTTTGTGTTTTCTTTCGAAGATCAAATGGCGATCTGTGATTTGATGTATTTCATCACCTCTATTGGAGTTTTGTCTTTGTTATGAAGCATGGGGTGAGTTTGTGATAGAAGAGGTTTAGATAGATCATGCAAGTGTTGTCTCTCACCAAACTAACAGATCATGATCCCTGCATGGGTCCGTGAGTTTGTGGAGAGTTAGTTCAAATAATTAAAATTCTATATATATATATATATGTATATGTATATGCGTATATATAATAGAATGGATTATAGAATATTGTTGTGGGGGCTTAAGTAGCACATGAATGTCTCCTATAAGATTCTTTAAGTGGGCTTTCCACATGTTCACGTGAATTTACGTGCTATCCTTAAGTTTCTTGAGAAAACCATAAAAAAAAATTATTATAAAAAAGGGAAATTATTGGCATTATAGATTGAAGTTTGCAATCGACCCAAATCAAAACCATAGCAAAATCTATCTTCTGAAAATTTGGGTTTTTTTGGGATAGTGTAAAGTTTGGGACTTTTATTCATATTACTGGAAAAATGTGGGGTTTTCATACATTAAATCATGAAAGTTATGCTCCAACAGAGAAAAGAATTACAAAATTTAAATAGAAAAAAAAAAGAAAAAGGCAAAAACATTAAACATCCCATGCAAAGACAGGACAGGACTCAGAGTTGTAATAGTAATACAATGAGAGAACTAGTTTCTTCTTCATGCAGCGTAACATAGGTTCATCTCTACTTCGTCTTGTCGGAGAAACCATCATCAGTTGGTTCCCCACTCCAGATGGAAAATTCCAGATTCAAGGAATGTGAAGAGAAGTCAGAAACCGAACCGATCGATCATGGGAAAGTGAACGATCCTCCGATCTGGTTGGAACCTGCAGGAGGATTGATCGCCACCCAGAGAAGAGAAATGGTGATGGCGACAAGACCAGACCAGACATACACAATGGTCGGTGTTCTTCCTCTCCGACCCATGAGCCCTTTGGCGAATGGATAGAGATGAGCCAATACCCAGAAGCTGAAAAACACGCCCCCGAGAAGACGGCTCCACTGCGGAATCACACTGTATATCGTCCTGCTGA